AATTGGTGACCAAAATTGAACTGCATATTCCAGATGAGGTGTTACTAATGATTTGTACCGGGGTAATATGATATATCTCTCTCTGGAGTCTATACCTCTTTTAATACAAGAGAGGATTTTGCTTGGTTTAGAAACCGCAGCTTGGCATTGCATGCCATTATTAAGGTTGTGATCTACCAGAACTCCCAGATCCTTCTCCACCATTGATTCCACCAGTTGTACCCCCCTAGTATGTATGATGCATGCATATTCTTAGCCCCCAAGTGCAGAACCTTACATTTATCAACATTAAACCTCATTTGCCACATAGTTGCCCAATTAAACAGTACATTGAGGTCAGCTTGTAAACCTTGGGGTACACCACTGATGACCCCAGACCATTCAGACTATGAATCATTAACCACTACTTTCTGAATACGATCTTTTAGCCAGTTTTCTATCCATTTACAAATGATTTTTCCAAGCCTGTAGATTTACCTTACACATTAGCCGTGTGTGGGGAACTGTGTCAAATGATTTTGCAAAACCCAAGTATACCACGTCCACCGCCACCCCTCTGTCCAAGGTTTTGCTCACCTCCTCATAAAAAGAAATCAGATTTGTTTGACAACATGGGGTTTATTTACTAAAGCTGAAGAGTCCAAAATCAGACTCCCTTCTGCATAGAAACCAATCAGCTTCCAGGTTTCATTGCCAAAGCTTAATTGAACAAGCTGAGGTTAGAAGCTGATTGGTTTCTATGCAGAAGGGAGTCTGATTTTGGACTCTCCAGCTTTAGTAAATAAACCCCCTTCTGTCTTTCATGAATCCATGCTTTCTGTTGCTTAAAATATTTTTTTCCAGCAAGAACTCATCTATGTGGTCTTTTATTAAACTCTCCAGTATCTTCCCAACTATAGAAGTTAAACTAACAGGTCTGAAATTACTTGGTAAAGGTTTTGACCCCTTTTTTTGTGCTTCTGGAATAATGGTCAAACATTCCCAAAGACACACTCCTAACCCTTGTGGACAGCCTTCCCAGAAGAGTTGAAGCTGTTATAGCTGCAAAGGGTGGGCCAACTCAATATTGAACCGTACGGACTAGGACTGGGACGCCATTAAAGTTCATGTACGTGTAAAGGCAGACGTCCCAATACTTTTAGCAACATAGTGTATAATTATTTCCAGGGATTCCCCAAAGCCAAAAAGTCACTTCAAGGGTTCCTCCATATTAAGGAGGTTGAGAAAGGCTGCCCTAGATTAAATGAGCATTTAACCCTATGCAGTGTGGGCCAAATGTGTTTTTTGATGTGTTTATGTAGAGGTGAATGGGAGAGACATTGCTGGCGGGGGCACTGTAGTGCTTAGTGCAGTTTGTAACCTACTTTAAATTGGTTGTAAACCTCAGACATGAAATATGAACAATGCATATCCCTCTATAGTGTGTACTTGTCTCAGTTTAACTGGTTCTAAAGCATAAACATTTTTTACCTCAATACATTCCTTGCATTAAGAAAAAAAATGTTTAGGCATCAGTTTTGGCCTTTCTCCACTTTTACTTACCTGATCGCTCACACGATCCAGCGCTGTGCACATCTGTAGCTGTTCTCTCCTCTCACTTCCGTGTCTCACTGGTTTTTGCTGGGGCACCCCGAAACCATTGGCTCCCGCAGCTATCAATCAAAGCTATTGACTAGGGAATGGGGATCGGGCCGAGTCCTACTGTCTGTGTCAATGGATGCAGTAGCGGGGCTTGGAAGTGAGCACGCACAATTGCCCCCATGTAAAGTGGCTTCCCATGGGGGCATTGGACAGAGAGGAGGAGCCAGGAGGAGCCAGGCCAGCGGGGAGAGCTGAGAAGAGGTTTGGTGCCGAGCAAGTAAGTATAGAGATGTTTGTTATTTCAAAACAAAATTCCTTTACAATCACTTTAAGAGCGCTAAGTGTCACTTCTGTCAACTTCTTCATTCCTCTGCTATCAGCATGAATCACTTCTGACTAGTTTCCCTGACACCAAAAGAAAAATGGTGACGGGGAGGGACCTCCAGCAGAGTGAACGCCTCAGCTCTGTTCCTGTGTGATGAGGGGGGGGGGGGCTCCCTTCCAGTCAGCTCTCAGAGCTCTCCTCACTGAGCTCTGCAGAGTGTAATTTCAGCTCTCCACCCCCGTTTTCTGAACTCTCAGACATGAACTCTCTGAATGAAGCTAAGACAGTAGATAAACAGGTACAACTTTTGTAGGAGGATTTATTTCATCTCTGTGTATCACCTGAGGCCAGTCACTTCCCTGGATATATGAGAGGGTTTACAACCACTTTAAGCCCCCTTTTTTTTTACCAAACTAAACCTAAGGCTGGCCATCTCTTGCAGCCCATTCTGTCAGATCTGCCAATGATCTTTCATCTTTATGAGGCAGGAAGATACCCAGTCGCTGACTACATTCATAAGGCAAGTTAGAAATGGCACCAAGGATTATAGCGCCCTCCGATGACTACAGTTGGAGCCAGCAATGTCCTTCCCATTCACCTCTACATAATCCAGGGGTGCTCAACCTTTTGAAGAGCGAGGACCACTTAAAGCAAAGTTCCAGTCATTGTTGTGTTTACTAAAAGTCAGCAGCTACAAAAACTGTGTGATAAACAAACACTCACCTGTCCTAGAGGTCCAGCGATGAGCTCACCCGCTCCGTCCCTTCTCTCTCCAGCGCCGGCCTGACAACTGTGGGCACCAGGCTGAGACAGCTTGCGGCTTCATAGACGGGTGCCCACTACATAAGTGTTAGTCGTGCTGCGCATCCTGATTGGTCCACCAGTCTTCTGGAACCTGTGAGAGTTCCCAGGAGACTGCGGGAGGAAGGAGGGGATCCATACTTCCGGCTCAGTTTGCCACGGTGAACTGAGCCAGAAGTGGGAGCGGGTACGAAGGGAGCGGGTACGAAGCAGGGAGGAAGGAGGGGATCCATACTTCCGGCTCAGTTTGCCACGGTGAACTGAGCCAGAAGTGGGAGCGGGTACGAAGTCAAAACCAGGTTCCCGCTCCCCCCCCCCCCAAAAGTACCAAATATGGCAGTGGGCTGGGGGGGAAGCAAACAAGCGGAGCTTCCACTTTTATTATTTTTATAATAATATATTATATTTTTATTTTGAATAGCATAATGATTATTTTTCTTCTGCAGCCGCTGAATGCTGGTGGGAGGGAAAGGAGGAGAAGCTGGCTTTCAGCAGTTGCAGGAGGAAAATGGAGGAGTGGTTATTCATAATATATCTCCATCAAATGGTGTGGAGGTAAATAGGAAAATAAACCCAAGTAATGAATTCCGCTATTGCCTCCTTTTTTCTTTTCTTGACACGCATATTTTTGTTGCAGTGTTATGTGTTTCTAAAGCCGGCTTTCAGCAGTTGCAGGAGGAAAATGAAGAGGATTGGTTCCTGATTATACTGCCCCTCCTGTCCATGTGTAAAACACAATTTGACAAGAAGGCTGGACTAGGCCCCTTGTAGCATGGAGGGGTCATTATGGCAACCCCTGACAATACATCAATGGTTAGGGGTGTGTGGTAAAAAACACGTCTCAACTATGGGGTTTTAACGTCCCCCCAACCAGAAATGTAACTGAGCCCTTACTGTCCTTGGCCCCCTATAAGGCGGCTTTTACACAATGCATTGCCGGGGTTTCTGCAGGTTAGCTGAGCTTTGCCATAGACTTCTACTACATCTTGCTGGAGTGGTTCACTCTCTGAATGTAACTGAGACTCCTGCGTTCAGTGTGAGATAGAGGGCTCCAAGGGCCACACCAGAGGGCTCCAAGGGCCACACCAGAGGGCTCCAAGGGCCACACCAGAGGGCTCCAAGGGCCACACCAGAGGGCTCCGAGGGCCACACCAGGGGATTCCCAGTGCCACACCAGGGGATTCCCAGTGCCACACCAGAGGATTCCCAGTGCCACACCAGAGGGCTCCAAGGGCCACACCAGAGGGCTACAGGGCCACACCAGAGGATTCCCAGTGTCACACCAGAAGGCTCCGAGGGCCACACTAGAGGATTCCCAGTGCCACACCAGAGGGCTCCGAGGGCCACACCAGGGGATTCCCAGTGTCACACCAGAGGGCTCCCAGCGTTACACCAGAGGGCTCCGAGGGCCACACCAGAGGATTCCCAGTGTTACACCAGAGGGCTCCGACATAAACACTCAAACAAGCTAACCACTCCTCTCTATGGCATTTTTCTGCCTACATAGGAGGCCAGACGGTGCCTACACCCCCACCACCCCACACAGCGCCCCCCTGGGGCCATCCAGCTGTGTAGCCGGTTCCCATCCTCGATAACAGTGCACACTCGGAGGCCGGACACAGCTCTACTTCACACAGTTCAGCACTTCTATTCCCTCCATTCTGTCTACACAACACGTGCGGCGGCTCTCCAGCAGGGGGCGCTGACCACGAATGGCATTTGCGGAAAATCAAAGATGGCTGCCGCTGCTTCAGGCTGCTTTCGATGTTGTCAGCTGACTGACATTCTGACTCTTCACACAGGCAGAAGACTTCCGGGTGCAGGCCACGGTCGCTGTCCTTATATCACCCTAAGAGGCGGCTGCACAGAACACAAGAATAGCTGGAATGGTTTTCGGACAGGCTGTAGAGACCTCCAGCAGCGCGGTATAGCCGTAAAGCAGCAGCTTTGTGGAATAGCTCAGAGCAGGACAGCCCTGGAAATGATCTCTGCAAAGCAGTACAGCAGCTCCTGGCAGTGATCAGCCATTGACAAGCCATTCTACCCCCCTGCACTGAGGCTGCTGTCATGAGGTGAGGCCAAGGAAGCTGCTGCTGGAGCCCAGGTTGTTGCAATGAACATGCTGAAATCCCAGCACAGCAGGGCTGTCAAGAAAGCCCCCAGGAGGCGGGCGTACAGCTGCGATGTTTGTCCCAAGCAGTTTGAGACCCCTTCTAAACTGGCAAGGCATTACCTGACCCACACCGGCCAGAAGCCTTTCCAATGCCAGGACTGCAGCAAGACGTTCCGTCAGATGGTGCACCTGGAAAGGCACATGATGACCCACGCTCTCCCCTTCCAATGTAATATCTGTTACCGACACTTTAAAAGCGCCGACACTTTTTCCAGACACCAGCGGCTGCATATTGAGGGTGCCCGGCTGAAAGCGAGGATGACCAAAAAGCCTGCCGGTACCCGTCGGAGGAGATGCCTGTCTCTGCCACCGTATTGTTTCGGGTGCCAAAAGACATTTGAAAGCGAAGAGAAAAGACTCCTCCACCAGTGCGACTTTGTGAACATCACCGCTAACCGAAAACCAGAAAGTCAGCAATGTGGCTTGTGTGACAAGGTCTTTCCTTCCCGCTCCAAGCTGGCCAGACACTTCATGATCCATACAGGCCAGAGGCCGTTTGCCTGTGCTCTATGCGGAAAAGCTTTCCGACAGAAGGCTCACCTCAAAATCCACGCTCTGACCCACACTCAGGAGAGGCCATTTCAATGCAGTCAGTGTTTCAAATCGTTCAAGAAACCAGAACAGCTTCTCAAGCATGAAACAGGTCATGCTGCTGTGTCTTCTGTTCAAATCAATGTGGGGATTTCAGCTACGGAGCCTTTACAAGTGAAGGAGGAGCCTGATGATATCATCTCCGTCTGTGTTATCCCTTTCCAATGTCCCACGTGTGACCAGTGCTTTGATAGCCAGGAGACCCTGGATGGTCATATGTGTGGAGCAATGAACACACAAGTCACTTGTCCTGTGAACAGTTGTGGTGGGGTACCTGTGAAAAAAACGAAAAGACGCAATATTTATTTGGACTCTCCTGGTGATTTTTTCCCACTAACTATGAACCATCTGAGAGACCACTAAAAATAGAACAACTGGAGGGAAGCGAGCATGGTGACCCCACCGCACTAGAGAACCAGCAGTTTGCTGTCCCCAGAAGTATATTGCATGTCCGTCCGCAACAAAAGGTCAAACATCCCAGAAAACATTTTGGACAGTCTCATCTGCTTCTTGGAAGGCACTTTAGAAACCAGCACTTCAATATGAATGATAATAGAATGGCAGGGAATAGAGATGCAGGAGCTATGCATGGTACATTTCATGCTGCTGAGGAAAGAGACCCTGGACAGCTTAGGGACACGTTTCATCACTTTCTACAGCAGGCACAAAGTATTTTACTGACAAGACACAAAGGGAGGAGGTGTGACCGCTGTGAGAAAACCTTCCCTTCCATGTCAAAGCTGCGTAGGCACTACCTCATCCACACTGGACAAAAACCCTTCTCCTGCACTGAGTGCGGAAGAAATTTCCGTCAGTCTGCCCACCTAAAGCGACACCAGGTGACTCACACCGAGAGTACTCGCCTGTACAGGTCACAAGTTGCTTTGGGTGATTATCAGTCTTCATTTGATCAGTGTTCATTTGATCAGTGGCAAGAAAACCCAAGTTTTCAGTTCAACCAGCACTCTTGTAGTCCCATAGAAGACAGCCAAGACTTTAGCGTAATGACATTTGTGGTCCCTGAAATAAAAGTAGAAATAGAAACAGCTGATTTGCCCGAGGTGATAAAAAAGCCGGTGGTAACTAAGAGGGCAAGGATAACTTTGCCAAGAGTTTGTAATACTAATTCCAGCCAAGAAAGAGCGCTGCAAAAAATGAGGACACGAGCCGTTCAGAAGAGGTACAGATGCAGCCTGTGCGCCAAGAACTTTCTTTCTCCTTCCAAACTTGAGCGCCACCACCTTACACATTCTGGCCAAAGGCCCTTTGTGTGTCAGGAGTGTGGCAAATCATTTCGTCAGGATCCTCACCTAAAACGACACATGGTTACTCATATTAAAATGACAGAATAGGTGTTTGACACCCCCGGGAACGGCTCTGGGTTTCTGTAAATGTTTCTACTCGTAACAAAGTGACCACGTATGAAGGTTCTCTCACTGCTTATTTAGAAATAGTCTGTAAAATGAAGTTCACTTTTTAACAGTTACAAAAAACCTACCAGAATATTTGCTTTACAGTTTTGGCAGGAATTGCTTTTATTTCCCTCTCTGTGCGTTATTTCATATGTCTTTAATTGTTTTACTGATCTGTGTATGTTTCTGTAAATGTACATTTTTTTTCAGATAAAATTTTTTCAGTAATCAGGTGACAAGCGTTGGATATATTGTGCAGAGAAGCTTGAAAATATTAAATATATTTTCTCTCTATAAATACTGTAGGGTGATATTATGTTTTGCAGGCAAAGGCAGCATCAGACAGGAGTTGGCCTTCATGCCTTGACTAGATACTGGTTTGGATGTTTTGTGATAGATTACACTCAAATAACATGACACAACAGAAAGTAAGAGGAAATCTTCCCAAAGTGAGGTAATCACTGGTTGTCGCCAGGGTTTCAGAACTAGTGTATCCACTGTAGGAGTTCCCCTCTATTCCTGTTCTGGTGACAACTCAAAATTTTGGATTTTTTTTAGAAGTTAGCTGTTGCGTCTGTATTGGAAGTTTTTCCTTTCACCTGTTACAGTGACTAATATAAATTGTTTTATCACTTTCTGCCTAGGTTACAATGGTCAGCCCAGACAGATAGAAAGGATGAATTTCCCATTGGACACAGACAGGAATCAAAACCTGACAAGTCTAACACTACCACTACTGTACATTCTCCCTAACACTGCCTTTCCTCTGGTCTGGGATTTTAAATCCTTGCTCTTCTTCATCTTCTCTGTGCAGTTCTTCTGGGACAGTCTACATTGATTTTAATTGGTTAATGCTGTCATAGTGAATTGATCTAGTTTATCCTGGAAGCACTGCATAAAGAAGAGTGGGAATTTTTTTCTGTAAAGGTGAACTAACACTTTAAAGTGAATCTGTGCAGGATGCTTTTAAAATTAAGTTTGACAATTATGGAGTCATTGAGAATTCATTGCAGGTGCAGTTGACCTTCTTCAGTGCGTTTGCATTCCTATATACTTGTATGGATGAAGAAGCAGTTCTGAAATGAACACCAGCCCGTTGACACTGGCCCTAAATATGTTTGGGAATACGGGGGACAACAGCAAGCTGATTGTTTTGTTTTGCCATAGATGGGTGCTTGGGCCAGGCAATGGTCTACTCAGGCACTGATCATTCCATTATGGGATGGAGTTGGGTGAAGCCTTCCTTCTATTTCTATTAGTAATAGATTTTGCTATCAGGGCACTTATATTGACTATAAAGGTACGGTTTTACCACTTTTGGTGCTTATGCTCCTTGTGGTGTCTTATAGTAGAAGAATGTATTGTTTGAACAGTGGAAGGTGGGACAGATGTAAAAGTAATTTATCTGTGTCCCAGTTTGTTCTATACATTTCCACATTGTGTCATTCTTCACAGGTTCCCTTTAAATTGGCTATTTCATTTGACATACCAGCTATATTTAAAGATTCAAATGATGTACAATGAAAATGTGTTGATTAAACGGGAGAGCCATAATATAAAACCTTCAAGTGTCAAGGAACTAAGTCTAAAGCAGCACATAGATTAGTCATATTTTTTTTTTTTTTTCAACCAGTGGGTTGAATGAAAAAAAAAAGAAGACCCACACCATTAGTGTGAATGGGGGGAGGAGATTGAGAAAATTGACAGCGCTATAAAAGTAACTATTCATAGCAGAAGAATGAGGCAGCAGCCAGAAATGACACTTAGTGCTCTGGATTCAGGCTAGTACACAGTATAGAGGGATATGCTTACTTCATGTGTGACGTGTACAATTCCTGATGCACACAGGGTATTTTTGCAGCCACTTTTAGGGGCATCAGGAATTTTTTTTTTTTCCTGCTTGTAAATGGCCCTCCATGTTATCCTGTGTGTCCATGCACACATAAACATTTAGGAGCTTTTAGTGCCAGGAGAGTTTAAAGACAGGTAAACCTGCCTAAATGCTTGTTAAAGCTAGGTGCATTTAGCACTTGAGCATTAATCCATTTCAATGGCCAGGTTAAATGATTATTTATTGATGCTTCTAAACATGCCTAAATACTTAAAGCTTTAGATACGTCTATAGGTGTTTTTCCTGCAAAAACTCTTCTGCCAAGAGGAAAGCTTCTAGGAGAGTTTTTTTTTAAGGTCCTGTGTGCACGAGGCCCGAGGACTAAAAACCAGAGACAAACAGGCAGCTAGTATTCAGTAGGAGGTCAATATTTATTTTGTAAACTGATTTTCTTTACAACATGTATACCTATATCTGCCTTTTGTTTTTATGTTTTGTTTGGAAGGAAAAAAAATTATAATGTTTGGACTTGTACCAGAAAATGAGGATTCTCATGAACAACGTCCTATTTCAGTGGACTGTGGACACATTCCCAAAAGGATGAAGTTACACCCAACTCTCTCACATCCTCACATTCCTTGGTTATACCCTCGTAATTGGTTTTAAACAAGGGATGGTATTATCATTGCATGTACAGTACTTCTGTAGCTCACACTAAAAAAAAACAAAAAACAATAGAATACCAATACACACCACCTGGTATCATGTACATTTACTGGTGATTGCCATGCAGATAGTTGCTCTGCTTTAATCTTTATATTATTATTATTATACAATATTTATATAGCGCTAAAAGGTTTGCCCAGCGCTGTACATTATAGTGGGGGGACAGAACATGACAATACAGTAACAAAACAATACACGAGGGGTTCAAGGGCCCTGCTCTTTCGAGCTTACAATCTAGGAGGGAGGGGATAGTGGTACAGGAGGAAGTGGCTGTGGGGGATGGAGTGGTAGGAGGAGTGGAGGAGATCGGCTGTTAGGTGAGGGCGGGGTAGGCTTCCCTGAAGAGATGGGTTTTCAGGGTGCGCCTAAAGGTGAGGAGGGTAGGTGACAGTCTGATGGATTGGGGTAGTGAGTTCTAGAGGATGGGGGAAGTCCTGGAGAAGTCCTGCAGTCGGGCGTGGGAGGTGGAGACCAGGGAGCTAGAAAGTAGGAAGTCTGTTGGCTATAAGTTTTTTAAATCTACTGACAGTTTAAAGTGGAACTAAACCCTCCTATCGTTTTCAGCCAAGGAAGCTGCCATCTCTTTGATCTTCAACTGCCATGGTGTTGCACATGTAATCAGTTATGACACCAGCCATTTGATGGTTTGACAGTTTGGCTGAGAACACAAGAAAATGTGGAAGTTAGCATTCCTGGCACATGGTGGGAATGGAACTGGTTTTTGAAAATCGATGTGTTTAGTTCCGCTTTAAAATGGAACTAAATTGTTCTATTCCTTACAGCCAAGGAAGCTGAATGTTTTATCTGCAGTTGCCATAGTGCTGCACATATGATCAGTTATAAGACCAGCCATTTGATGATTTGACAGTTTTGTTGAGAACCCAAGCAAATGTGACAGTTAAAACTCTGAAATCGATGGGTTTAGTTCTGTTGGTTCACAAGGGTGCGACATGCGATTTACAAATCGCACTTGAAGTCGCATCTAATAGATTGCTAGAACAGTGTGTTAATCAGTGCAATTTGTAGTAGCATGATTTCAAAAATAGTTCCTGTACTACTTTTTCCGATTTCATTGCGTCTTGCTTTGACTTCAGTTAAATGAAGTCAGAAGCCGCAGTGAAATCGGAGGTACAAATTGCACGATTACAATTACAAATTACGATTACAAATCTGCGGCTTTGAAATCATGCTACGTCAAGTGAAGTAGTGTGATTTCAAAGTCGCATTCAGTGTGAACCACACTAAATCCAAATTTGATGTCATACGCCTTCACTTGAATCCGACTTTGAAGTCAAGCGCCTTCACTTGAAGTCGAACGATTTCAAAGCCGCATATCATCCAAGTCGCACTGACATCTCTGCAACTTCATGCACAGATGTCTATGAACAACGTCTCATGAACAACGTCCTAGTTCAGTGGACTGTGAACACCTTCTCAAAAGGGTGAAGTTACACCCAACTCACATCAGCACATTCCTTGGTTATACCCTCGTAATTGACTTTAAACAAGGGATGTATTATTGCATGTACACTGTACTTCTGTAGCTCACACTAAAAAAAAAAAAAAATAGAATACCAATACACACCACCTGGTATCATGTACATTTACTGGTGATTGCCATGCAGACAGTTGCTCTGCTTTAATCTTTGTCTGTTGGCTTCAAGTTTTTTAAATCAACTGACAGCTTAAAGTGGAACTAAACCCTCCCATCGGTTTCAGCCAAGGAAGCTGCCATCTGTTTGATCTTCAACTGTTGTGGTGCTGCCAGGGGCGGACTGACAACTCATGGGGCCCCCGGACAATAGGGGGTCATGGGGCCCCTGTGTCCTTGCCCAAACTGAAAAAAGTACCAGGGGCATCTCATGGGGCCCCCTACTGACCCCGGGCCCTCTGGCAGTGCTCGACTTTCCAAATAGTCAGTCCGCCCCTGGGTGCTGCACATTTGATCAGTTATGACACCAGCAGGGGCGGACTGACCACTCATGGGGCCCTCGGGCAATAGGGGATCATGGGGCCCTAATGTCCTTGCCCAAACTCAAAAAAGCCTATGAAAAAGGTACCAGGGGTGTCTCATGTGGCCCCCTACCGACCTCGGGCAGTGCCCGAGTTTCCAAATGGTCAGTCCGCCCCTGGACACCAGCCATTTGATGGTTTGACAGTTTGGTTGAGAACACAAACAAATGTGGAAGTTAGCATTCCTGGCACGTGGTGGGAATGGAACTGGTTTTTGAAACTGTTAAATCGGTGTGTTTAGTTCCGCTTTAAAGTGGAACTAAACTGTCCTATTCTTTACAGCCAAGGAAGCTGTATGTTTTATGTGCAGTTGCCATGGTGCTGCACATATGATCAGTTATAACACCAGCCATTTGATGGTTTGACAGTTTGGTTGAGAACCCAAACAAATGTGACAGTTAAAACACTGAAATCGATGGGTTTAGTTCCGCTGGTTCATAACGGTGCGACATGCGATTTACAAATCGCACCTGAAGTCTAATAGATTTATAAGGCAGTGTCCTAATCAATGCGATCTGAAGTAGCGTGATTTCAAAGTTCTTTTACTACTTTTTCCAAATTCATTGCGTCTTGCATTGACTTCAATTAAATCAATTCGCAAACCACAGTGAAATCAGAGGTACAAATCCCACTGATCTGCGGCTTTGAAATCATGCCACAAGTAAAGTGGTGTGATTTCAAAGTCGCAGTCAGTGTGAACCACACTAAATCCAAATTTGATGTCATACGCCTTCACTTGAAGTCGCACGATTTCAAAGCCTCATGTCAGCCAAGTTGCACCTGAAGTCACACTGACATCTCTGAGACTTCATGCACAGATGTCTATGCAAGTCGCACCTGAAATCACAAAAAATAGCACAGGAACCTTTATTTCTGATTTGAACGGTTCCATTGTGGACAATAGGGTGCGACTTGTCATGCAATTTGAAACATATTGCATCCTCACCACCGGTCAAACACACACATGGATCGCTTTTTAAAGGAACAGCTAGTGCCTGCTGCACTTGTGAATGAGCCCTTAGTTGAATTCTGCAGCAGCACCCCCAGGACTCATTCACATGTAAAATTGGGGGTGGTTGAGTCGCCCGCAATTCCTACCCCCTTTAGCTGCTGAGGAAGCAGCCAAAAGTGTACACATGCCGCAGGAATTAAACTCCCTGTTGCTTTTGGTGGGTTCTACCTCCCATCAACTGCGACCCATTCAAGTAAATGGGGCCACTCTGCAAGCGCCCTGCAACTGCGTGCAGAAGTGGGGTCCAAGGAGTTAAAGGAGTGAGAAAGCAACACAAGACTTCCTGCTTTAACCCCTTGTTTTCCGTACAACACAAGGCTGCAGGGCAATTGCAGAGCATATAACCCCAGAAACTGCAAAATGTATATCCCCTGGCCACTGCAACTAACGGGGGTGCGGTTAGAATGGGGGTGATAAAAACACGTCTTAACTATGGGGTTTTACCACCCCCCCAACCTGAAAATGTGCGTAAATGATCCTTTACTGTTCTGAGTCCCCTATAAGTCTGCTTTCTCACTGATGCGCTGCAGTTTACCTGTACCGTAGGTGCAGCACAGTGCATCTGCGACTTGCCTGGGCTAGCTGAGCTTTGTCATAAACTTCTATTACATACTGCAGGTGCACTCCTGCATTCAGATGTTTTGGTGCGCTTTCAGATAGGTTACCAAAGCCGCAGGATATAATAGAAGTCTATGGCTAAGTGCAGCAAACTGGCGGGAAAGTTGCAGGTGCACTGCACCCAAGGTGTGGGAAACCTGCAGCGCACAAATGTGAAAGTGGCCCTATACTATTATGCCCTGTGTATTGCTTCACACTGACCTGAAGATCCTAATTCCTGCTGCTGGCACCATTCTGGAGATCGTTCGCCCAGGATCAGAAGTGGAGTGCATGTGGTATCTGCATGGGTCAGGAGCCAGCGCTACAGAGGCGGCATCAGCTTATGCGGCTCTTGCTCCACAGAGTATTGCACTTACATATACTCTGTATATAAACCACTTTGTGCACAAAATGTGTCCTCCAAATTTTTTTCAGTGGTGAAAATCCTAAAATTGCCAGCTGGATTAATGCAGGCCATAGAAGGGTCAAACATCGGCCGTTTAAAAAAAAAAACCAAAAAAAAAACCGGTTGTTCGATCGGCCGACGTTACCACCAACGTTAAAAATAAACGGCCGATTTTCGTCCCATCTTTGGCCGGCATTAACCCCATAACTTCTTTCCCTTGCAGAGACGGGAGCGCACCATACAATGTGACAGCAAGAAGAAGAATTCTAGTCCGCTATATGAATAAGTCTTGCGGTTGCAACAAATGTATCCATACAGATGTTATTTGGATACAAATGGATACATTTGTTGCAACCACAAGACTTTTTCATATAAAATATAATAGCGGACTTTAGAATAAAGAATGGAGCCGCCATTCAGTGACACCTGTATAGCGCAGTACAGGGCAGTCTTTTTCTTCTTCTTTTCTTCTTTTTTTCTTCTTCTTTAGCATGTGTAGTCTGATAGGTAACTAGACCCTCCCTCTGCTCCATTCATAAAAGCTGTACTATCCCCTCCCACAATGAAAAACAGTCTATGAATGGTGGAGGCAGACCTTTCATTCATCTGCCCATCTGGACAACTCAAAATTATGGATTTTCTTTTAATTTCACTTTCAATGATAATAAACAAAACAAATAGGATGAATCCCCGTAACAGAGACACAGACAGCAATAAAAACTGACAGGTGTTCTAATCCATCTCCCCTCTATCCAAAACTAAAAAAAAAAAGTTTTGCCTTCAGTAATACTTGAACTTTACCCAAAAGTCAAAAATAATGTTCTTTAGCAAGGAACATACATTCCACATTAATAATTATGCAACCAATATGAGTGTGTGCTGTGCCTCCAGCATTGTTTCTGTTTCTTCTTGGAGGTCGCCATTTTGTTGAAGCAGACAGTCTCTGAGCAGCAGTAAATACAGGTGTACCTCAGTTTACGAATTTAATGCGTTGTCCGGGACGTTTTGTATTGCGAAAAAACCAAAATACGTGGTTTCCCATAGGAATGCACTGAAAACCAATTAATCCGTTCTGGAGGTCAGGAAAAAAGTAAAAAAAAAAGTTGCTGTCATTATAGGTCATTGCTGGTTTTTAAATTTAATTACTGTCTTTTTTTTTCTTCACTATAGCTCAGAGAATCAGCTGTCACTTTCCCCCAGGTGAAAAAATAAAGTTTCCTTTTAGTTTAATTCCCCAGGTTAAAAGAAACAATGTTTCCTTTTAGTTTGTTTCTCAAGATAAAAGAAACAAAGTATCCTTTATCCCCGTGGAAAATGACAGTTAATTCTGTGAGCTATAGATAAGGAAAAAAAAGCATTAAAAAATCGGCACTGACATACACTTCGTATCGGGGGCAGACTGACCATTTGGAAACTCGGGCACCGCACGAGGGCCCGGGGTCAGTAGGGGGCCCCATGAGATCCCCCTGGTACTTTTTTCATAGGCTTTTTTGAGTTTGGGCAAGGACACAGGGGCCCCATAATCCCCTCTTGCCCAGGGGCCCCATGAGTTGTCAGTCCGCCCCTGCTTCGTATTGCAAAAAAATTTGTAAACCAAGGCATTATTTTCAATGGATTTTCATTCCTAAACCGAAAATTACGTTAACAGAGGCGTTCGTAAACCGAGGTATACCTGTATTTAGGCTGTCAGCAAATCAACCTCTACAAATTCAGGACAGTGTCAAAAAATAGAGAGCAACTGAGCATGTAAAGAGCAGGGTGGGACAGTATTAATGGATTTAAACAGTACAGGCACTTATTTTTAGGCTTCATGCACACTAGCGTTTTTTTCTGCTCCTAGAAGCTATTATCAGCATATTTTTTTTTCTGCTCCTAGAAGCTAAATAGTGTTATTCTAAGTGTCCATGCACACTACTTTAGGCTATTAGCATTTTTTGAGCTTCAGCATCTCGGAGCAGAAAAAAATATTTTTGTAGAGTTTTTTGGGGCATTTTTCCAGCAGAAAAAAAAACGCTAAATGCTCCTAACAGCTTTTTTCTAGCTTTTGTTTCCCCCAACCTGTACTGTAATAACCCTAATAAAGCGCTAATGCTTCTGAACACTATTAAAACACTATTACCAGCATTTATTATCCAGTGTTTTTTGAGCTTATAAAAATGCTAGTGTGCATGGAGCCTTAATGTTTCTTCATAGGTATACCTGCAAAGGGGACCAGCATGAAGTGATCTAGCAGGACTTCATTTTCTGTCTAAAGTTCCACTTTAATTTATTTATATTAAATGTATAAATAGATCCCCAAGTATACAGATGAGGTACTTTCAGTTGCTCATGACAGGTTTGCTTTAGAAAGGAATTATTAAAGCTGAACTCCAGGCATGGATTTTATAGCATAGTTGCATTACCGTATTTTTTGCCGTATAAGACGCGCTTTTTCTTCCCCAAAACTGGGGGGGAAATGTCAGTGCGTCTTATGGAGCGAATATGGAGCAGCCGGTCCGGTATTTCCACCGCGGCCATGTCAGAATACCGGGCTGGCCGCTCAGCTCTGCAGCGGGACCTTACCTGTTCCTCTATCCAGCGGCGTGCTGTCTTCCCGGCTTCTGTAGTGTGGGCACTGGGCATGACAGCCGGGTGCCAAGTGCGCATGCGCAAGAAGCGGTGCTTTTTGTGAATGGTAAGGCGGTACCTGGGACACATGACAGATCCCAGAAGCCGCCGGACCAATCACAAAGCGCAAGTGCTTCTCGCTCATGCGCACTGGGCACCCGGCTGTCATGCCGAGCGCCATTACAGAAGCCGGGAAGACAGCGCGCGGCTGGATCGAGGAACAGGTAAGATCAAACAAAAACTCTGCGGAAGTAAGAGCGGGTACCTGTCAAATTCAGGTACCCGCTCCCCACCTCCCCAAAGGTCAGCAGTCATCTGTACTGTCCGCGGTCTCTGGTCATCCCTGTGCTGTCCGCAGTCTCTGGTCATCCCTGTGCTGTCCGCAGTCTCTGGTCATCCCTGTGCTGTCCGCAGTCTCTGGTCATCCCTGTGCTGTCCGCAGTCTCTGGTCATCTCCTGTACTGTGTCTGCAGTCCATTAGTTCAGAATTTTTTTTTTCCTGTTTTCTGCCTCTAAAACCTAGGTGCGTCTTATGGTCAGGTGCGTCTTATACGGCGAAAAATACGGTAGTTCGACCTTGAATCAATGGAAGAATGCATAGGCTGTACCAGGGGTGGACTGACCATTTGGAAACTCGGGCACTGCCCGAGGGCCCGGGGTCAGTAGGGGGCCCCATGAGATGCCCCTGGTACCTTTTTCATAGGCTTTTTTGAATTTGGGCAAGGACACAAGGGCCCCATGATCCCCTATTGCCCGGGGGCCCCATGAGTTGTCAGTCCGCCCCTGGGCTGTACCTGCATATATGGTATTGCTGCGATCGTAAGCAGCTGGAATATCTATTTTGTGTTGTTCTTTGGTGGTAGGGTATGGTAGTAACAAGAAACTCACAGCTAAATTTAAAAAAATGATTTTTTTTTTACTATTTTGGGCTAGTTTTCCTTTGATAATAAATAAAAATCAGCAGATATCCATTATCATTTACCACCAAATGAAAGCCCGATTTGTCCTGAAAAAAACCACGGTATAATTCACCTGGATGTACAAAGTAGTTGTGATGATATGTAAGGTTTTTCTAACACGTGTCAACGTTCCAAAATTGTGCTTAGACATTAGGATTTGTTTTACCCTTAGGCGAGAAGGCCATGTGTTTGTGGGGCAGACATAATTCAGCAGTGGTGGTCCAGTTGTGGAACTACAAGGCTCAGCATGCTGTGCTAGGTGCTGGAAGGGATATGGATAGGCTTTCCCGGGTCAGTCACAATAAGAAGCAGCAGCAGCAGTTCTCCTTCTATATTCAGGCATTATATGACACAAGGACCATTTATCAACACAGGAGCTACTGGCTCCACAAATATGGCGCCTCTTCTGAGGACACAGGATTCCTCTGCAGCGCTTCCTCTATGTTTTGTCACTATTTTCACGTCACATCCTTGTGATCGGTTCCGGTGCTGGTGTAGCGGGTTGTATGGTTCTGTGGTACACGAGGTTTGGGTCTGTGAGGTGTCACTATGGAGACCAGACCGGGAGGACAGCCGCCAGCCAGGAAAATGGCGACTCCTACAGTGACCCAGATGAACGCCGAGTTTGTCACTCAGGTGAGAGGCTTGGAGGAGTGTGAGTGCCGAGCCCTGTGTGCTCCTCTATGGGGGGTGTTCTCCACACAGGACATTACTGTACACCTGAGGCGGTGTTCACACTGTTGCGTTTTGTGAACACATGTAACATGTGGAGATTGTGTGCGCGTTTGTGAAAAAAAAGTGGAAAACCGTGTGTTGCACTTGTGGTGCTGTGGATCGGGACCCCGGACACACTGGGTGCGACTGTGCTTGTGATTTCCCATGACATGCAACTGGCAAATCGCATGGCAAGTGGCACCCTATTGTCCACAATTACAGCGGTCATATCATTGCGATTCTGTCTTGGTCGGAGCTGCACTGATTTCTATAGTAGTGCATGCAATACTTCCGGTGCGACTTGCATAGACATCTGTGTCTTGAGTGTCGCACCTCAAATCGGAACAACATCCGACGTTGAAGCTGTGCGTCTTCACTGGTAGTCATGTGACTCCAAAGTAGGATCAGTGTGACCGGGGAGCTAAGTTCACAGCTCTGCGTCCTGTGTGTAGACAGTCCATTCATTTCAATGGGCCACCCTACTGCTGAAACGTAGGGAATGAAGTCCCTGGATCTCCACACCAATTTAGAGCTCGTGCAAAAAGGCACACGTTTGCCAAAGCATTGAGATGCCATTGAGAATGAATGACAGACCCGTGCGATCACTAATATTACCTGCAGGTTGAAACCGCATTCAATTTTGCGAATGTTCCCGACCTGCACAAGTGTGAACTCAGCTTTAATAGCACCCAACCCATTTGTGCAGTGTGTGCGTAAAAGAAAAAGCGTGCAAATATTCCTGCATTCATACATTATAGTGTGAATGGGGCCTAAAGGCAAAGCTTATTAGCCTGATTTCACCCTGCCGGGCTGCATTTCGGTCACGGCACGAGTGGACCCGCCGGATTCATGCAGCTAACCTGCGGTTTCTCATAGCCCTTCTATTAGGTTGTGTGTTTAATGACAGCGCACAAATGATGCAGCATGCAGAACTTTCAGGAAACTTGTGACTTAACCACTTGCCCCCCCCCCCCCCCCGGATTTACCCCCTTTCCTGACTAGGCCATTTTTTGCAATACAACGCTGCTGTCAGGAATGGATTCGCCACTGGTGGTGGGACTCACCTGCCTTGTGGGCTGCAGTACCAGGTTCTCTTAGCAGTCAGAATCTCACTCCTGCAGTCAAGCCATCACCTGAGGCTGATTGCAGGAGGTGTATTTAAGCATGATCAGGCCTGCAATTAGTGCCTTGGTGTATTGTTCCTATGAACCCCCGTGCCTGATCTTGTCGTCTGGCTGTCTTCCTGATCCCTCTGCTTGACTCCTGACATTGATAGAACTCTGCCTGCACCGACCTTGGCTATTCCTGACCACTCTTCTGCCTGCTCCTTTGTACCTTTGTCTGCCTGATGGTTCCTGACCCGGCCTGCCTGACCACTCCACCTCACTAGCCCTGACTACTCTTGTCTGTGTTCTTGTACTTTCCGTTATCAGTTGGAGGTTTGGTTTTGTTTATATTGTGCGTTTATATTTTTGTAAAGCTTCTAATAAATTATATTGTTTACACCATACTTGAGCCTGCATTTCCCTGTGTTAGCCCACAAAGCTTTGGTCATACCTGGAGCCCTGACAGCTGCATTACTTTAACTGACAATTGCGCGGTCATGCAACGCTATACATAAATGAAATGTATGTTCTTTTTTTTTTCCCCCACAAATTGAGCTTTCTTTCGGTGGTGTTTGATCACCTGTGCATTTTTATTCCCCGCTAGAAGCTAGTGGTGCAGCAAAATGAAAATTCAGGTGCTGAAAATGAAAATTCAGGATGCACTTGGCCAAAAACCGAAATGGATAATTTTTAAAAATTATATATTTTTTGCAAAAAAATACACTTTTATGATTAAAAAATAAAGGCATTATATACCCCAATTTTTTATAAAATATGAAAGAGGATGTTACGGCGAGTAAAGAGTTACCCATGCTTTAAAATTGCGCACACTCGTGGAATGGCGGCAAACTGCGGTACTTAAAAATCTCCATAAGTGACTTTTTAAGAATGTCTACAGGTTACCAGTGTAAGGTTACAGAGGGGATCTAGTGGTAGAATTATTGCTCTTGCTCTGACGTTCGCAGCGATACCTCACATGTGTGGTTTGAACACAGTTTACATATGTGGGCGTGGCCTACGTATGCGTTCACCACCATTACGTGCGTGCACAGGAGGATGGGGCACTTTAAGCTTTTTTTTTTTTTTAATTTTAGTTTTTTTTTTTTGTTTTTTTTTTTACACTGTCACTTTAAAAAAAAAAATGTTATCACTTTTATTCCTATGACAAGGAATGCATGCATCCCCTGTGATAGAAATAATTAGTGACAGGTCCTCTTTATGAAGAGATATGGGTTCAATAAGACTCCACATCTCTCCTCTATGATGTAAGCATTAGATCAAAAAAGCATTGATCTAGTGGTTTAAAAAAAATGGCTTTCTTTACAAGGCACAGGAAGTGACATTTCTCCGTTCCTCCAAGGGCATAGTGGAGTGGAGGCCATCTTTCCTTCACTTATCTTTGCCCAGCGCCGGGATTGTTCTGTGGTTGCTCAGGTAAGGCTGCGGCAAGGGGGTGAGGTTATTTTTGGCACCTGTGTCAGTGCTTATTTTCGTATTGACTGACAGCACCCCTACTATAAAAAAAAAAAAGACCGACCAAAAAAACTTATATTTTTGACTTTTTACTATTAAACATATTCAATAAAAATTGTAAAAAATCAAATTTCGGCCAAAATGTATCCTGCTACATGTCTTTGCTAAAAAAAAAAAAAAAATCCTAATACATGTAAATTATTTGGTTTACATGAAAGTTATAGTATATATGCTGGCATTTTTATTTTTTTTTATACTAGTAATGGCGGCGATCAGCAACTTATAGCGGAACTGTGGCAGGCATTCTGACACTGGGTGGGAACTAACTGCCACTGACATCCCCAGTGACACTAATACAGTGATCAGTGCTAATAAAAAGCACTGACACTGTACTAATGACACTGGGCAGGAAGGGGTTAACATTTGGGGCGATCAAAGGGTTAACTGTGTGTTTTACTATGTGCTCTGTGTGCTGTTTTTACTACGGAGACATGCTGCTTTGTACTTCTGCTCTGCAGAGAAATAAAAAGCAGCATGTCCTTGCTGGCAGGACAGAGACTTGTGTTGTTTACACACAGGTCTCTCCCCTGTCAGCTTTCCCCTGCGAGTGCCGGCGGGAAATCTCCGGCCGGGACCTGGTGATTGACATCCCTAGCCGCCAACGGTGGCGCAGGTAGGGCGGCGCATGTGCGCCCCCTACCTGTAAATGCAATCACAAATATGACTTTGCGCAGCCCTGCAGGAGTACTAAATAGAGAGGGTGAATCTTTCTAATGGGAGCACAAACAGCAATACAAACTGACAGTTCTATTCCCTCTCCACTATCCAAAATTGAAAAAGAAAGCTTTGCCTTACACTTTAGTATGTGTGGAGCCCTTCTATGGTGAGGTGTTTCACACAGGACATCACATAACGCACCAGTAAACAATTATTTTCATGACATTTGTTGACACACGTGATGCATTAAATAAACGTGGTGTATTGAAGAGGATGTGTCACATTTCTGCCACAGACTGGAAAATAACAAATTGCAATTTGTTGCAGGAATGTTGCCATTTTTGTGCCCTATAAATATGTGTGCTACAATGTGCACAGAGCTTAGCTGACCAGGCACAGATCAGCACTTTGGGCCGACTCCCTCTTCATTGCTGAACCGAAGGGAAGAAGCAGCTGGCTGGCAGGTTCCTTCTGATAAGTTGTAGGTATTCTGTGTGACACACATCATCATTGGGGGTTCCCAAATTTGACTGCAAAAGTATATACTTGAAAGCTCCGTTTACTCATATCTGGGTACAACAGTGTGCACACGGTTTCCTTGTTGCCTTTAGGGCAGCCTATTCGTTTCAGTGGGCTGCCCTAAAGGTGAAAATCACCCAAAAGCAAAGCATAACTTTTTGTTTTTTAAATTGTGCCAAACTGAAACGTATGGCATTGTGGAATAAAGTGATGTGCGGCGCCAAGATCAAAATAATGTCTATAAGTTAGCATGTAAACCCGGTGGATGTACATATAGGTGTATAAGCAATGCGCACTTACCAGAAAGTGCACGTAAATGCACGTTAGTAATTAATTTTGATGTCATCAAATGGTTATCATGGGATGATGGTAGGAATCCTAAGCCTTTCCTCTATGGGTGGATGGATTCTGAGGTGTGGATTCACTGGTATCAAGGTCATCCAGAGTTCCCTTTTATGGGATAGGTGGGTGCAGTCCTCTATTTAGTGGAGGCTCCCTCTCTGGATGTTAGGATGGCTGTGAATCAGAAACTCCTCATTGGAGTCAAAGCAAAAGGATGCCCATAGTGTAGTAACTTTGTAAACATTTATTGCAAAAAATCCAGGTTAAAACAAATAGTAGGGCATGTAAAAACCATGTGGACTAACTGTCCAGAGATAAAAGATGGCCGTTAGCAACGAGGAGCTCTGGCGGCCATCTTTTATCTTTGGACGGCATATTTTTTTGAGGTTTTCTTGGTTACCTTGTGCTTGGCTGCTTTTAATTTTAATTCAGTTTCTCTTATTTAGTTTTTTTGGGCGCTCACATCTACCTATTCTTTACATTGTTGTATGGTACTTTGGAATCATGCATTTTGGTGCGTAACAGTAACCTGGTACATGTTACTTCCTAAATACGGGTGTAACATGCTATAATAAGTGAGTCCTTTAGGCCTTGTTCACACCAAACTCATTGAAAAGTTTTTAAAAACAGATGTAAACTCATGTCTCACAAGTGAAATTGGCATGCTTTTACTATCAGTTTTCCTGGTTACGAGTTTACATCCGTTTATATACACGTTTCAGTGAGTTTTATACACATTGCAGATTCCTATGCAGAAAAATTCTGCACGTGATACTAGTGTTATGGTGTGAACAGGGCAAATAGAGAACAATTGTTTTCTTTGTGCCCTTGCAAAACGCATGCAGAAAAACTCACGTCTCTGCATCATGGTGTGAACGAGGCTTTAATGTTGTTTGAGACATAAAGTACATTCCACATTAAGGCCGCATTCACACCTGTTCACGTCTGCTGTCATGCATTTTTCTTTGTGTTTTGTTTATGTTCTTTTAAAAGGTAACTCCTCTTTCGTGGGAAAAAAAATAGCGAAAAAAAAATCACATATTCAATAGTCATATAATAAATTAATGTTCTTAAAAAATAACCTTTCCTTTTTAGTCTGCAGCCCTGTAATTTTCTGTAAAATGCAATACAAGATGTAATTTTCTGCTGCTTACTGATTTTCCCAAAAGTCTGCACTAAGATAGAAGTCATATTTTGGGGATCACCTGCAACAAAAAATTTAATTTTCAGTGAGATGCTCCCAATGGGAAATCATGTCTAAAGGGATGTAGACGCTGCAACTTTCCTCATTAGAGCCCCGTAAGTGCAGCAGCTATTCGATAATTATGAAATCCCTCCCATTAGATTAATTTTGCACATGGACGCAAACAAACAGCTATTTCTTCAGAATAACAAAAGGTGGAATCTACAACAAATGTTTGTTAAAATCCCTGCAATGTACATAGATCACCCAGTGGAATGTTTGTTTTCAACAAAAGTGGAGTTATTCTTTAACGCGTAATTTTAGTGAGTTCTATGTGCATTTTTCATGTGTTTTTCATGAGTTTTCATGTGGTTTTATGCGCTTCCATAGACTTCAATGAGCCAGAAAAATACAGGCAAATATATAAATTATTGAACGTGCCTCATTTTTTATAACACAATGTTGAGATGTGAACTGCCTCATTTAAATCAGCAATCACATTCTGCAGTTAAATTTGTGTAGTCACAGCCTTGATTGTATGTCTTGACTCAGCAAGAGACAGAGGCTGCAGTAGCAGCACAGCGCTCACTTTCACAGTGCTTCCATGGGAGAGAGAGAATCAAAGGGATTCCCCCCCCCCCGATGTCTCACCTGCCCTCCGTTGAAGCTAAAGGTACACAGATCATGCACTGTTAGTTTCTTCCCTGGCTGCAAGGGAAAGGGACACCAGAAACTGGAAGTGACATTTTACACGTTACTTTGGGGTTCATTGAAGTGGAGATCTCAAGGGAGATCAGCAAACAGACTTTTGCTGGTTTCCCTCACCACCGTCAAGCAACACCCGCCAGGTAGGACTGCAGAGCCCTGGAAGCATGGAGGAGAAAATTGTGCCAGGGTGGGCACACTCTGGAGTGCGGGTCACAGAAAGTTAATACAGTGGCTGTACAGATGCCGGAATGCGTTCATTAGAAAACTGACAGTCGGCTTGTGCGGTGTGCATACACTCCCTGGGAGTGTGCGTAGAACCCCCTGCTGCCACCACCATAATACTGGTGGCACTAAAAAGGTTACAATTTGTTTTTAGCTGGAGCTAAAGGTTGCTGTAAAGTCTTCAATAAAGCTGAGTAACTTGATGAAAGATTTACAAATGCTTTGTAAAGCCTGCAGTAGCCACTACGTTTATACAAGCTGAAGCTCGTATGTACAAGACCTGTGGGAGAAATGGACCTCAAGTAGAATTTATGAGGTTGACATGAGGGTATGATACAGTGACCGCGTAGATCTAAATGATATTCATGCATCATTGTAAAATGCCTTTTATTTATATTCAGTGTATTTGTTTTTTCAGGTCACACAAGCCTGCGTGTATTCAGTCAGTATTTTCCTATTCATTTTTTATTAGCATTTAATCAACTTACAAGAAACTTGTGCAGACAGAAATTTGTACATGGCCATTGCTGATCTCACTTTCTGGAATTGCTAGTTCCCTGGCTACCTTGCTGATTCTCTGACTTCAATACATTGAGTTACTTGCCTGGATCATGTGGGCAGGCTAGGAGTTCTGGCTGTGCTGATGAATGCTTGCTTTTTTGAATTTATAGCCTAGGGATTTTCTTTTACCACCTCCCTACTACTGTATTGTGAAAAAAAAGTAGCAGGGAGGTGGATGTGTACTTTTGGAGTGCCATTAATAAATAAAACTGCAGACATATGGCATGGGCTGCCATTGTGCCTGTAAAATGTCTAATTAAGCTGTCATTCGCATCACAGTAAATCAGAGCAGCTCTGTGACTTGAGATGACTGTGATGACCAATCAGTCCTTACAAATGTAAACAGATCTTGTGTTTACATCTGAGAGCCCATCTCGTTTCTCCTCTGCTGCCTCTTAATTTTTCTGCAGTTGAAACTTTTCCTGTATAGTCCATTTAAAGAAAACTGCTGCCATTGACCACCAACAAAATGGAGGTACACTGATCACCACTGAGCATACTAAAGTGGCACAGGCTTGTGGACAATAAAGGGGCACACTGACCACCAGTGTTAGGGAGGAAATAGCACTGGCTACAAACACACTCACTACTGATCACCAACATTTTAAGGGGCACTTGCCCCCAACCACCACCATAAGGGGGTGCTAACTCCTGAACACTAAATTCTGCAAGCTGTTCTGTGCATTACAAAGTCCTGAGGCTTGCACTCTTGCTGCTGCAGTGTAAAAAAAAAAAACAGTGGTTATTAAATACCACCAAAAGGAAGCTCTATTTTCTCAAGATAATTGGGTACAATGTTTCATGACTGAGTAACTGTCAGTCCAATTATCACAATGCTGAAAACTGAACTATGGCCTGATAAAGAAGAGGTATTACAGGATGGTACTCAAGTGGTTAAAGGAAAACAAAAAGCAGTCCTATGAAATTTCATATCATTATTAATTTACAGTATTTATATAGCGCCAAAAGGTTTGCTCAGCGCTGTACATTATAGTGGGGGACAGAACATGAGACAATACAGTAACAATACAATACACGAGGGGTTTGAGGGCCCTGCTCTTTCGAGCTTACAATCTAGGAGGGAGGGGATAGTGGCACAGGAGGAAGTGGCTGTGGGGGATGGAGTAATAGGAGGAGTGGAGGAGATCGGCATTTAGGTGAGGGTGGGGTAGGCTTCCCTGATGAGATGGGTTTTCAGGGTGCGCCTAAAGTTGAGGAGGGTAGGTGACAGTCTGATGGATTGGGGTAGTGAGTTCCAGAGGATGGGGGAAGTCCAGAAGAAGTCCTGCAGTTGGGCGTGGGAGGTGGAGACCAGGGAGCTAGAGAGTAGGAGGTCTTGTGAGGAGCGAAGATTATGGGTAGGGTGGTAATTGGGTATCAGGTCGGTGAGTTAGTTTGGGGCAGCGTTATGAATGGCTTTGTATGTCAGTGTTAGTAGTTTGAATTTGATGCGTTGGGCAATCGGGAGCCAGTGGAGGGAATGACAGAGGGGGGTGGCAGAAGTGGATCGGCTGGTAAGGTGGATGAGTCTGGCTGCTGAGTTCAGGATAGACTGAAGCGGGGATAGCCTGTGTTGGGATAGGCCGGTGAGAAGGGAGTTGCAGTAATCCAGGCGTGAGATGAGGGAGTGAACGAGTTGTTTAGTAGTGTCTGGGGTTAGAGAGGTATATCACCTCTTCTTTCCATTGTTCTCTTAGATTCCATCAAATATGTGTAGTTTTGTGCAGTCACACAAATATATTGAAGCATATTGCATGTGAACAGAATGAAATCATAATTACTGCAAGTGCTGATTACGGAAGTGTGTGTAATTTTGTTTTCTTTTTTTTTTTCAGTTGGCAAAAACATATTGGGCTCCTCATTCAAAGAACAAGCTACCATTTGATCCTAAGGTAAAGCTTAATTTCTCAACTGTTTATATGTGTAGAAATTCCACATATTATTGTATTCGTTGAGTTTGTTGCTGTTGTCCAGTCAAAAGGCTAGGGGTAAGTCTTTCATGCCATAGACAAAAGTGAGATCAGCAACCTGGATATGCTTTCTGATAGGATATCCAGTGTCACAAGGCTGATTCAACATATTTCCATATCTTTTGGCGGGTAAAGCAGTTCACATGGATGTTTGTGAATTATTATACTACTATAGTTGTTTTTTCCCCAAAGTATTTACTTTGTTTTAAGGACTATTAGTTTGAACACTTTTATGGTCTGAAAGGAAGCTTGTTCTGACAAAGCATATAGGCTGCTACTTAACTCTTTGTTTGAAAATGCTAGATAACTGTTCAGTGCTATAGATATCTGTTATGTTAGTGCAGATCTATAATAGTTCCTGAGTCGGTAACTTGAAACAAATATGTAGGTCAGGAAATCTCACTTTCTTCAGACTGTATGCTTTCTGCGGGTCATTGACTTGGAAAGTTTTGAGGCCAGTGACAGCCTACATATTTCTCTCACTACAGGTTTCCTTGGAAGTCTCTTTTTAAAGACAGTCCTACATAATTTATTTGACCATTAAATGAAATGTACAGCGATTTAATTTTTATATAGTTTTAATTCTATTTTCTGAATATTTTATAGGCGATAGAAGATATTTACTCCAAAGAAATTGTGAAGTCAAAGTAAGTTGTTTTTTTGTTTTGCTTTTTTTTTTTTTGTTTTTGTCATTGTACAAAGAAAACTGAATGTTCTTGCCTATTTTTGTGTCTTTTACTTTTTCATGGCTGTATTTGTCTTTACAGGTTTGCAATAAAGAAGATAATGCTGTTGGAGTTCAGGTGAGTTTATTGACTAGGCCTTGTGAAATTCATAGCCAGGGTGATATACTGTCACTGAAAAGATGTGACCCTTCCTTGTCTTGCATTTTCTTTTTACGGTGCAGTCATAGCACTGACACATCCCTTTTATTACTTCTCTTCCCCTTTAAAGTAAATATGAAGTTTTATTATAGAGGGTTTAAAATAAATTATTCGGTTGTGATCTAGGAATCCTGTGTCACAAGTGTATTAAAGTAAAGCTAAAGGCAAAACCTTTTTTTTTCATTTTGGATAGAGCAAGAGAGGGTTATATCCCCTCTCAGTGTGTTTTTGCCATCTCTGTCTCATTGAGATTTCCCTTTACTTCCAAAGTAAGAGAATCCCTGGTTGTCACCTGGATCACCAGAACTAGCATCCACATTGGAAGATTTCCCCTTCTATTCTTGTTCTGGGGGCAATCCAAAATTTGGAATTTGCTTTCAGTTTTAGTGATAACAGTAAAGAGCACAATAGAGAGGGCAATTCCTCCTAATGGGGGCACAGGCAACAATACACTCTGACATTCAATAAAGTGCCTTTAGTTATACTTTTAAACGTTTATTTGTAAAACAAATATTTTGTTTATAGGAATGAAACAGACCTTTAGCCCTGGTTCACACTAGTGCGACTGTTGTCGGGAAAGGAACATTTCAAATTTGCAATTTTGTTGGAGTCGCACCAATTTTGAAAATAGTTCCTGCACTATTTTTAGTGATTTTAGGTGCGATACTTTTTTTTTTTTTCACCGCACAATGCCTTCATACAACCACAATGTAGTGGTGTGAATTGGGCAGATAGGAAGATGAGGCATTTTGCCTTGTCATGTGGGGTAAATAACTGTCCGAACCAGTCCCACCACATGTAATGTGAACAAGCCCTAAATATCAATCTAAAGAAGACCTTTCCTGAGAAAATGAATGGGGCTGTCAATACTGATCTGTGTCTAAAAGTACTAGTGTCTGATTTTTAATCTGACCTTTTGGCTTCAATACTTTGAGTTCCAAACCTGGAACATGCAGGTATGTATAGTGGCTATAGAAAAAGAATCACCCCCCCTTTAAAATAATCAGATTTCTCCTATCACCTTCCAGGAAGGCACACCTGAGAGAGACGAGGGGCTCCTCCCTACAGGAAACACAATCAGTTTACAGCTGTTATAAGTCCCCTCCTTTCCCCTTGCCCTCCAGTATTGATTGTTTTTGTTTGTTTTTCTCCCTACATCGGAACGTTTGTTGTTTTGTGACCGGAAGATCGGGGAGGGTTGGATGGTACCCCTGTGAAGCAGGCATAGGGAGGCCGGGGAGGGCTGAACTAACCTGCAGGCTTGTTTCTTCTCATAGGTCGTCCCCACTTGTCACCAGCCCTCCGGTTACAGGGAAGTGTAAACCGCCACTGAAATGTGCTGAAACGTCGCCCGGTTGCTGTCTTTTTTTTCCCCCACAGGGTCACAGTAACCATTGGCTTGCAGAGAGAACAGGAAGAGGAGGCATGCACTCCAAGCCTCAGTCTGGCTCCAGGGTGGGTGCCCCAATTCCCCCCCCCCCCCAGTTAAATGTGTGGTAAAGCCCAGCAGCCTGGGGGAGGGTAAGAAGAAAGAGAGACTGCGAGTGGTGTTCCTTTTCTCTTTTAGAATCCCCGACCGGAACCCAGGAGGCCCTTGATAGACTGATAGACCACCTTCTGTACCCGTGGGCTCTTGCTCCTCTAGGAAATGTGGTTATTGTGGGAAGAAGCTACCTAGGTCTCATCCAAAACCATTTTGCTATGGATGCATTAACAAACTAGCAGGGAAAGAGGCTTGAGGCTTGATGAAAGATTTCCTAGCATCTATGCAAGTGAAGGTGGTAGCCACGATCCATTCCTTCTGAACTTCGGTGTCACAGCCGCAGGGCCTAACCCCAGAGGAGCTAACCCCTAAAGAAGGCCCGTCTTCGCAGGAAAGTCTTAACTCCAGAGGCGGCCCCAGTGTATTTGTCCCGTCTTCCCAGATGCTTCCTCTGGCCCAAGTCAGGGATGAGAAGGAGAGTAAGGGAGAGCTGGATAGTCAGCCTAAATCAGACCACAGCTCGGGGGAGGAGGTGGATCTAGATCTGGGTACTGAGGCAGGTGAGGAGTTAAGCCTGGTAGCCACCTTCTTCTGATGGAAGATTTGGAGGGGCTCCTTCAGGCTGTCTACCCCACTGAAGAGATCCCTGGAACCCCCATAGAGACCTCAGCACAGGACAAAATGTATAGAGGTTTAGTTAAGGGTGCTCACCTACCACCAATCCTTAAAGGATTTTATCCTACAAGAATGGCAGGATCCGGAAAGGAGAATGGTCAGACTTAAGACTTGGAAGAGAAGGTTCCTTTTCAAAGAGGAGGACGAAGCTAAATTCTTTAAGCTCCCTAAGTTGGATGCTGCAATGTCACAGGTTACCAAGAGGTATGACCTCTCCTTTGATGATTCAGGGAGCATAAAGGATCTGATGGACAAAGGTTTGAATCCCTCCTAAGGAAGGCATGGGATGCTAACACATCTGCCCTGGTACCAGCTCTGGCAGCAACCTGCATTGTCAGGAATACAAACTTCTGGATGGAAAGACTGACCAAACACCTGTCGCAGGGGGCCAAGTTAGATTAGGTGCTAGATTCCCTCTCTGCTTACCTGGTAGATGCTGTGGTCGAATCACTTAAGGCCTCGGCCAAAACAGCCGCATTCATTAATTCAACCAGAAGGGCTATCTGGGTTAAAGCATGGGAAGGTCGCGTCACTTTGAAAGGTAAACTGTGTGGCCCTCCCTTTGAAGGCTCTCTGCTTTTTGGCCCATGGTTGGACAATGTGTTGTCCAGGTCCTTGGAGAAGGGGCATAAATTTACAGTTAAGCTAAAGAGGGAGAAGTATAAGACATTTTTTTGTGGCCCTCCAGAGCAGAACCAGCAGAGAGCCAAGAGGGAAATTAAGAAGTGTGGTTATGGCAGAGGAAGGCAAAGGGGCAATTTTCTGTATTCTTACCCAGGTGCCAACACCAAAGAAACAAAGTGAGACCAGGATCAGGTAGGGGGCCACCTGTCACGTTTAGCCTCCCAGTGTGAGAAATTCTTAGACAGTGCCTACATCTGCCAGCTAATACGAGAAGGCTGTCGCCTGGAGTTCTCGGCAAGGCCCTCACCAATGATCACCTTAACCCACCTTGCTCGGGATGCTTTAAAGTGGGAAGCTCTCCTGGAAGGAGTTCAGGCAATGGCTGAACAGCTGGTGATAGTGCCTGTACCAAAGAGCCAACAATACCAGGGATTTTATTCCCACGCCACACATACATTGTTTGCAAACCTTCTGGAAAATACCAACTAATTATAAACCTCAGAAACCTGAACAAATTCTTGGAGTACAAAAGATTTTCCATGGAGAATATTTACCCAGTTCACACAAATCTCTGGAGCCGGAACAAGCCAAAACCTAGATGCTTTGTCGCAGATCTGGCGGTTCATGCCAGCATATGCCTCTCACCTTCCCTCAGCATTAATCCTGCGGGTTCTCCAGAAGCTCAGCCAGTCATTGGGCCACCTCTTCCTGATTGCACCTTGATGGCCAAGGAGAGCGTAGTTTGCGTCCCTAAAACCCTGTCAGTAGCTCTGCTTTGGAGGCTTCCGATCCTTCCAGATCATCTTCTTTAGGGCCCGGTGCTTCACCCCAAGCTGGAATTCTTCCAATCGACAGCCTAGCTAGTGAGAACCAGAACCTGAAGATTAAGGGTTGTTTTGGACAGAGTTATAGACACCCTCCTAAGCAGAAAACCTGTAACTAGGAAAATTTACGTGAAAGTATGGGAAATCTTTTGTGCTTGGTGCAAACCAAAAGAGGTATCCTCTACCTCTATTCCAATAATCATGGCGTTTCTCCAGGATGATGTTGAAAAAGTGGTGGCAGTTAGCACCCTTTGAGTACAAATTGCTGCACTTTCAGTTTTTCTTGATGCTAGATTAGCTAGAGAACCTTTAGTTAAGCGGTTTTTGGTGGCCAGGGAGAGAGCTACCCCAGCTGCAAAAGAGAGGTTTCCGCTATGGGATCTAACCAGAGTGTTAGAAACCTTATCAAAGCACCCTTTTAAACCAATAGGGAATAATGCCTTTGTTTTGGATGTTTTTTTTGTTGTCTGTCACCACAGCTAGAAGAGTTGGAGACCTACGAAATTTGTTGGTCAAAGAACCCTTTTTGTTCATCCTGCCAGATATGGTCACCCTTAGGCCAGATCCGATGTATCTGCCTAAGGTAGCTTCTTTATTAATAGGACACAGGAAATAATTTTGCCTTCCTTCTGTGACAATCCCAGAAATGTAAAAGAAGAGAAATTCCACTGTATTGATGTGCAGAGGTGTCTCCTCACTTATTTGCATAGGGCCGAAATTTTTAGGACGCCTGACCATCTGTTAATTTCTTATGCTGGACCAAGAAACGGACTTCAAGGCTCTAAGGCTTCGGTCTCAAGGTGGATCAGACAAGCTATTACCTTAGCTTATGAGCATTCGGGGATCTCTGCACCAGCGACAGTAAAAGTTCATTCAACCAGGGCTATGGCCACATTCTGGGGTCTCCAGGGAACAGATTCGCAGTTCAGCCACCTGGTCCAGTCAAGACACCTTCTTAACACATTATCGGATTGATGTACTGTTGCATTACGACTTAGCCTTCGGCCGGAAGGTGCTGCAGACTGTGGTCCCACCCTAAGGTAGGCCTGCGGTTATTTGATTATTCTCTCAGATGTGCCATCCTGGAAGATGATAGGAGAAAAACGACCATTAGACTTACCGGTAGTGACATTTCTATGACCCTTCCAGGATAGCAGAACTACTTCCCACCCTATGGGGGGAGAGAAATCTTTGAAAAGTTGTAAGTGCCTATGTATAATTATTCCCCTTGTGGATCGGTTTCGGTAATTACTTTTACACACTGGAGGGCAAGGGGAAGAGAGGAGACTTATAACAGCTGTAAATTGATTGCGTTTCCTGTAGGGAGGAGCCTCTCCTCTCTGATGTGCCATCCTGGAAGGTTCGTAGAAATGCCTTTACCGTTAAGTCTAACGGTTGTTTTTTGTCTAGATGTGAAAAGTTAGTAGAGACTTATCCCAACAGACCAGGGGCGGACTGACCATTTGGAAATTCTGGCACTGCCCGAGGGCACGGGGTCAGTAGGGGGCCCCATGAGATGCCCCTGTTACCTTTTTCATAGGCTTTTTTGAGTTTGGGCAAGGACACGGGCCCCATGATCCCCTATTGCCCGGGGGCCCCATAAGTTGTCAGTCCGCCCCTGCAACAGACTAAAGTCTGTAATTAAAGCAAAAGATGGTTCAACAAATTACTGACACAAGGGGATGATCCTTTTTCCAACTTGGTGATTCTGTTTTTGAATTTGTTTTTATTTTTTTCTGGCGCTATGTCTTTCACTTGGATGATTTAAGTGTAAATACAACTTGCTAAAACAAAAACTGTGTCTGTCTTCATTTCAGGCTGCAAAGCAACAAAATGTGATTGATTTATAGGGGGTGATTATTTTCTATGCCCACTGTACTTTGGGACTGCCACAGTAAAGCCAGAAGTCATTATTTTCATACTTGTTTTGGGTCAGTGATTAAAGATGTTGAAGCCATTAGATCATTGTGCCTGCTGAGCAACAAACTCTTAGAGAAGAGACGTTAACAACGGCAGCCTCCATGTTTCTTGAAGGAAAGATTATCTTTAATAACTCAACTGTTTTTCAAAATTTAAGAAATGGTATATTTACATCTGACTAACATATAAAAAGTTATTTATCCAAGATGTACTGGTGTAGCACCCAGTAACTGCAAAACTGTATGCTAGTTATTTAAACATTTCTTGTGTCACTGTGAAGCTTTGGCCCAATGTGAAGACCTTTGGGCTTGCATAAACCTGTGTCTGAATGGGTATTGTAAGCCATTTTTTTCTTTTCATTTTGATATAGCCAGTACCTTGAGAACTACTTGTGGGTGAATTACTCAGCAGAGGTGTCTAGTAAAGCCTATGTGATGTCTATTTGCTGTATGGTGAATGAAAAGTTCCGTGAAAAACGTTCCTGCTTGGGAGGTAGGACCTTCATTTAGTTTTGTAGCTTGTACTATATATAGTATTTTAGCCATTTGAGGAACATGAACACTGGAGTAGGCATGGCAGCTTGGGAGATGTATGGCAATAAGAATAAAACTAATGTACATCAGGGATCAGTAGCTTTATGACCAATTTATCTAATTAGAGAAGCAGCTGTCGTCCTTCCTTGTCTCTCCCATGAGAGAGGACAGGATAAACCTATTTTCTGCAGGCAGGCTGATTGTTGAAGTGCTGGGGCTAGACCAGAGGAAAATGTGCCAGTTCTTAAGAATACTATTTGTTTTGTTAGACAGCTAGTATTGATGACTTACAATATTTTATAAATTAATCAATCGAATCCCTAGAGCTATTTTAAAATGGTGCAGGGATAGCAGCTATTCATCCCAGAACTGTCCCAACTACCTTGTTGTGATCGCACCTTGTCTCAGCAGTTTTTATGTCCCCCACTGGTATTAGTGCTGGAACTACCAGCTGTTAGTGATCTATTCAGCACCTGGGGTTCCGGTCTTGCTACTAAGCACTCTACAGGAGCACCTGTAGCAGATCGGTGTGAACACCATGCTTCTGCATTGTTTTTATATCAGAATGGAAGTGACGTCACATCACTAACTCTGATCTTGGTGGTTTAGGCAGAGTTGTTTCATCTCTGTCCATCATCTTCCTGCAGCAATAGATTACCAATCTAAATAAAAAAATGTTCTCTCCCAAAATGAATCCCCAGGGTCACATCAGTGATGGTCTGGTTTATATTTGCGTTCGCTGTTGAGAGATCAAATGCCCATTTAAGTGAATGCAATGTCATTTGAAATTTTAGGAATCGCAAAAGTTGCTGTTGTGCTAGTGTGTAAACTTGTCAACCTGACTTAGGCTACATTTACACTAGGCATTTTGCCTGTGTGTGGCCAATCCCAATGTTTTAGTGCGCCGGGAGACACATGCTGAAGCATCCAGTCCTGCTGTCTGTAGCCTCTCATAGTCTGTAACAGGCTGAAAGCTGCCGTTGTGAATGGAGCGAGATGCTGTACAGAGTGGTATTATCTTTCAGGACTGTAAACACCCAATGACATTCAGCCCTGGGTGCATGTAACCCTAAACATTAGTACAACTTGGCACAGCGTCCAGACGTAGCAGCTTTTACAAGCTTCTGGCAGCAGGCCTGGATGGTGTACCTGTGTCTTAAATCTACACAAAAACACTGAAATCTCAGTCACAGGGACTAAACTCCCAGCTTTAAAAAGGAAATAAATCTCTCTAAAATAAAAGTTTCATTCACATTGAGCTTTACTGTCCCGCCATATTACATAAGTTACACTAATGTGATGTTATTTTAAAGTTGAAAGTCTTTAGTTTCATGCATTGAAGTCCGCCTGATGTCTGTGAGCAGAAGCTCTCCTGGGTTTCTCTCTCTCTTTATTGGCTGAGAAATAGCAGCGTGAGCAAATGGCTCACAACCAGTGAGGAGGGAGTGTGGTGACACAGTGGCAGCTCGGGAGTGAGCACGCACAAGTGCCCCGGGGGCCCTCATTGGCAGGGAGGAGGCAGGAGGCCCAGCGGGGGACCTGAGAAGAGCAGGATCAGGGCTGCTTTGTGCAAAACCTCTGCACAGAGCAGGTAAGTATGACATGTTTTTTATTTAACATTTTGTTTTAATTTAAAAATACATAAAGATTGCAGTAGTAAAAATTATAGTAAAGTGCCCCCCAAACCAAAAAAGTAATATAAATTATGTTAGGGTAAGCTATAACTTCTAAAAGACTTAATGTGTGGGACCGAGACTAGTCTAGAGATTGAGGGGATCAGGGGGGGAAAGGGCCTGGGGACTCAAGTGGTTAAGATGAGCTGCTTTAACCGCTTCCCATCCGCCCTATAGCAGAAGTACTGCTACAGGTTGGCACAGGTGTGCAAAATCACATATATATGCGAATTCGCATTTCCGGGCAAGGGGCACACACACCCCCTACCAGCGCCGCCGGCCGTGGCTGTAAATCACCGGGTCTCTGCCAGTGATTACTCGCTGGCGCCCGGTGATTGCCGTGCATCTTTTTACTGTGTGCTGTGTTTTACTAGGGAGACATTCTATTTTGTGCCTGTCAGCATGTGGATTCTGACAGGAGAGAGACCTGAGTTGTTTACACAAGTCTCTCCCCTGTCTGCTTTACCTGGCGATCTCAGAGTGCGGCTGGGAATCGCTGGCCGGGACCTGATGATTGACATCTCTAACCGCCAGGCTAATCACATGTGTACATATATATATGTGATTTTGCGCAGCCCTGCCAGCCTGTAGCAGTACTTCTGCTATAGGGTGGAGGACAAGTGGTTAGGCACAACACTAGTTTGTCTTCCTTTATACAGTTTGAGTTGAGTGTGAGAGATTTAGCTGTCACTCTACATCTTAAAGCAGCTCTAAAATCTGTCAAACGTTTGCTCAAACTTAAAGAATCGTATATAGAATTAGTTGGGGCCCACTCTATAGACAGTTTGACTGGTATGAGGTATAGGGCATACTTACCATAACTGGAAGTGCTTAAAATTCTTCCTAACTAAATAAAAAAAATGGTAATTTAGTGTAGTTTGTTTATTTTTCTTTGAGACTACATGTGGATTTAATCTTTAACATTATAGTAGGAGAAAGCATTTCAGGCATTGAAATTGATGTTCATTGACAAACCTATAGGTTCATTTAGGTTGACCCATCTGTGCTTTTTATCTTATAGCGACTCTGTCCCTAAAAATCCAAGAGGGGATGCACATGTTCCCTAGAGTGAAGATAGTCTGCCACCCATACTGCTGTGACAAGGGGAAAATGCTGCTTAGTCATTCAAAAAAAAAATTTCTAGGAGTGTCTCTCTCATGTCCAACTGTGTGCTCATTGGTTCTTTCCAATAACCTCTACATCACTACTGTGTCCTGTAGTAATGTAGGGTTCATTGGGAGGAATCGGTGAGTGCAGAGGTGGTCAACATACTTCGAAATGTTGGTTTCTGAAGAGACCTCAGTTGCTGATTCATTTTCATCATAGCAGCTGGAGAGGTAAGTATTTGCTATATTTTTACAGGTAACGTGTTTATTTCTGCTTGAATGTTCAGTGGCAGGGTTGCTTTAAAGCCCAGATCCATTTTTATAGTCTTAGATAAAATGGAAAAGGTTTAGTACTTGTCACTAAGACCTAATGAGGTTGCATGTCTTGTACTCTTTCCAAAAGTAAAATAAGTAGCTTTGGCTGGAAATAGTGTTTGATCTTGCAGCACAGTCTACAACCATGCTGGAACTTCTAAAGAGATCTTGCATAGGGGTCCTTGTCTTTATCTTGTAAGCAGCCGGTTCCCATCTAGCTGACCATACAACAGCCAATAAAAAAAAATTCAACTTTTAATAGGGGACTTGACTATACTTAGCTCTCATATATTTCAAGGCTTGTCCATGAATCTACAGAAAGTTAGTGCTCTATGGCAGTGGCGTCCCTAGGCCGCACCGTGTGACACCTACCGCACGGAGTGACACAGGACCTACTCCATGGAAAAGTAAGTTGTAAAGCAAGCCAACGATCCCCGCAGGATGGATCGGATCTGCGGATTGGGGAGCATAATGGATCGGAGTCCGATCCAGTACGCTCCCCAATCCGCAGATCCGATCCATCCTGCAGGAATCGTCTGCTCTCTTTACAACTTACCTTTTTGTGGAGCGGGTCCAGTGTCACCCCCTTATGGGTTTCATGCTGACGATCCCCGCATGATGGATCGGATCTGCGGATTGGGGAGCATAATGGATCAGACTCGGGAGGGGGTGTCGCCAAGTGTTATCGCAGCGGGTCACAACAACCCTAGGGACACCCCTGCTCTATGGCCCAGTTTTGATGTAACAACAGATGGGCACCTGCCTTGTAAACATAAGTTTGTTTGCCCCTTCAAATGATTTTAGGCTGCAAGTTAAGAGGTCAAACAGTTAGATAATGCATTGATTCATGTTTCTTCAAGAGAAAACTATGGTGGATCTTGAATTTTGTTTAATCGTTTTGTGCAATTTTTAGACTTTCAAGAAGAAGCCAGAACACTTCCCCTTCTTCTTCAAGAGTATAATGGAGGCATCAGTGGCTGAAGAATCAAAAAGTGATTACACATTACAAGAGCGCACAATTCTTCTCCTTTTTCTGGATCACTGCTTCAACAGCCTAGTAACTGCCTATACATTATATTGAGTTACATATGTTTTAGTTTACTGTTAAAGACAAAAAATAAATACTAAATTATTTATATATAGATAGACATAGTTAGGTCCATATATATTTGGACACAGGCACAATTTTAGTTTTTTTCAGGTATTTACCAAAACATATTCAAGCTATAGTTATATAATGGATATGGACTGAAAGTGCGCACACTAATGTTTAATTAGAGGGTATGTACATTCATATTGGAGTGAGGGTTTAGGATTTACAGCTCTTAAGAGTAGCCATCCCCCCCTTTTTCAGAGGACCAAAAGTAATTGGACAAACGAATATAATCATAAATAAAATGATTATTTTTGATATTTTGTTGAGAATCCTTTACTGTCAATGACTGCCTGAAGTCTGGAACCCATGGACATTACCAAAGACTGGGATTCCTCCTTTCTGATGCTTTGCCAGGCTCTAACTGCAGCTGTCTTCAGTTCTTTCTTTGTGGGTCTTTCTGCCTTTAGTTTTGCATTCAGCAAGTGAAATGCGTGCTCAATTAGGTTGAGATCAGGTGATTGACTCGGCCATTGCAGAATATTCCACTTCTTTTCCTTCAAAAGCTCCTGGGCTGCTTTTGCACTGTGCTTTGGATCATTATTCATCTGTTTTGTGAAGCACCGTCCAGTCAACGTTGCTACATTTAGCTGAATCTGGGCTGATTGTAAATTTCTAAACACTGCAGAATTCATCCGGCTGCTTCTGTCACATCATCAGTAAACACCAATGACCCAGTGCCACTGGAAGCCATACATGCCCATGCCATCGCACTGGCTCCACCATGTGTTACAGATGACATTGTGTGCTTTGGATCATGAGCTGTTCCAAGCCTTCTCCACACTTTTCTTCCCCTCATTCTGTTACAGATTAATCTTAGTTTCATCAGTCCAAAGAATGCTTTTCCAGAACTGGTCTGGCTTTTTTAGATGTTTTTTGGTAAAGTCTAATCTGGCTTTTCTATTCTTCAGGTTTATGAAATGGTTTACGCCTTTTGGTGAACCCTCTGTATTTGCTCTCGTGAAATCTTCTCTTGATTGTAGGCTTTGGCAATGATAAGTCCACATCCTGGGGAGTGTTCTTCACTTGTCTGGATGATGTGAATGGGTTTTTCTTTACCATAGAGAGGATCTTGCGATCATCCACCACTGTTGTCTTCTGTGAATGTCCATGCCTTTTAATGTTGCTGAGCTCACCAGTGCGTTCTTCTTTCCTCAGAATGTACCAAACTGTTGATGTGGTCACTCCTAATGTTGCTGCAATCTCACTGATGGATTTGTTTCATTTTTGAAGCCTTACAATGATCTTTTTCACTAGAATAGACAGCTCCTTTGAACGCATGATGTAGGTTCACAGCAATAGATTCCAAATGCAAATACCACATTTAGAATTTACTCCAGACCTTTTACTTGCTTAATTGATGAAGAAATAATGGAGTAGCCCACACCTGGCCATGAAATAGCATTTGATTCAATTGTCCAATTACTTTTGGTCCCTTGAAAAAGGGGAAATGGCTACTCTTAAGAGCTGTAATCCCAAAACCCTTCCTCCAATTTGCATGTACATACCCTCAAATTAAACCTGAGCATGTGCACTTTCAGCCGATATCCATTATATAACTATAGCTATAGCTTGAATGTGTTTTGGTGAAATACTTGAAAAAAACTAAAATTGTGCCTGTGTCCAAATATATATGGACCTAACTATATGTATGTGTGTATATATATATATATTTTTCAATCTAAAACAAAGTATATTTGGTTCCATTATTTCTCTGTCGACAACTGTTTGATTCATTCATAGTACTGCATAGAAGTACACCACAAAAACACCATTTCACACATTGGGTGATAATTAAACTATCTTAGCCAGTATGAAAGCAGATTTCAAGACAAAATAGTTTACTTACTGATATTTGATCAACCAAGCTCAACTTTTTGGTTTAGGTTGAAACAAACACCTCACCTGCCTAGTTTTTTGTATGAATTTGTACGTAATGCTGGGTTTTTGGAAGAACAGCTGAAAAGGGCTTTTGGTGGTAACCATATCTGTTTCGTAACACCACTTAAAGGGAGAGGAATTTGCATTTGAGAAAATGCTTAAATGTAACTGAGCTATTTTCTAATCCCCTCTCTGCCACAGATTATATTGTAACAAGGCAAATATATTGTTGCTGAGGAATTGGGTTATTTTGTATCTTTAGATTCTAAGTTGATTGTTACTAGTCTGTACCCAGTAGGCTAGGGGGTATAAATACTGCCGATATGATTGCTACATGATCTATTACTCTATGAGAATTGGATTTTTTTCTTTTTTTGCTATCGTTTTGCCCATGTTAACTAGGCATCAGTATATCTTTAGAGGGAATTGTAAATAAACCTGATGTGTTTTCTTTAAATTGCTTTCCTTTTAAGATCTCTGCTTTTTGAAGTTTCTGTCAGACCAGATTATCATCAGATGTCCTATTCTTTTGCAGGAGGTTGACCTAATTCGTGGACAAATTCAGCAGCTCATATCATTGCCCATGTGGTCCTGTCTGCAGCCGGTATGCTTTCATACCTTAAGTCATTTATTTGAAAATAGTTTGATAGTGGCCAAGAATGTTAGTGGACATTTTATGCATTTCATGGAATGTTTACATGTAGGTGAAAACCTGTACATGAAGTTATTGCCGCTTTGCACTGACCACTGACATCTTAATTCTAGGCTCGTCTGGAGCAGGAACTAAAAAAGACCCAAAAGTTGAGGAAGTTCTGGAACCTCATTAGGAAGAATGATGACAAGATGGACCTGAAGGCACAAGATATGTATGTATTATATGCAAATTTAATAAACCTGGAAATAGTTTGTTTTGTAACCCTGTCAACCTTTATTAAATTTAAATGCATACTGTTCCTATAGCATAGAATTTTGGAATTACCATTATCAATAGTATATGATTAGTAAGAAGAGACTTTCAGAGTCCTTTTTGTTTCTTGTGTATTGACTTCAGTGTCCTATATCTCTTGATCTCTGCAGGGCCAAGCAGGAAAGAATATTTCTGTGGAAGCTTATTCAGAAGTTCTTGTCTGTGCTTGGATCAATTCAAGCAACAGGTAACTCCCAACTTTTTAGAGGAAATAAAATGTGATTCTGGGTTGAGCTGGATGACATGGTGTGCGTGTGTGTCTGGCTTTTAAAGTTTTTCAGGACAAAAGAAAAAAGAAAAACGTCTACAATACATCTGTGCAATACACGCAAATTTTAATATGTTCTATCCCTTTAACCCTTTTGTGGTGATTGATTTAAGGCTTATGTCAGCAATAGTGGTGGCATTTACATACACTAAGGAATGTGTGTGTATTTTCTCAGTTGACTTTCTGTTGGAAGTGATATGGGTTGCTCCAGATCCGATCCAGTCCGATCAGTTCTACAGGCTTGCCTTGTATCTTGGGCTTCACTGTCTCTCCTGTGGGCCTGGGACAGGCATTGTGGGAGTTGCTGGGTAAAGCAGAGGGAGTTTGTCAAACAATTATTCACTGATCCTCCTGGAAGTGGCGTGTGTTCCCTGGTTCACAGCTGCCCTTTCCTTGCTGCTGTGCTAAAAGAAATAAATAAAAATCTAAAATAAAAAAACTATTTAAAAAAACATTTCCCCACGTATATGCACTTATGTAAATACATGTCTTGGGTACAGCTACTTACGAAAACGATGATTGTACTACATGTCTCATATCGGTGTTCACATGTGAGTGAGGAACAATAAGAAGAACAGTAATTCTAAGGTTATTTGTTGCTAATACTAAGGGCCCATTCACACTGCTCTGCAGCCCAAACTGCTGTTGTTTTGAGCTGCAGAGGCATGTGCCAGGGGGTGGTGCACATTTTGTTGCAACACATAGCTCCCTTTTCTTTTGACAGGACTTTATATGAAGTGATCAGAACAGCAGGGTGCAATATGAGTGTATCATATTAACATATTTATTGTAGTGAAAAGACAAATGGCAACTCACATTATGTTAAAATCAGGCTTGTCACATAGTATGGACTTCCTGTGGACAGTCTCACAACAGGGAACCTCAGACCAGGGTAGAAACACTGGATGGATGGATGGATACACCTGCAGGATCAAGAGAACACACTGGGGGGGGCACTAAACTAAGAGCAGCATTAAAGTGGTTCTAAAGTCTCCAGGTTTTTTACCTTCATGTATTCTATGTAAAAATCTTCTGTCTGCAGCAGCCAAAAATCCCCCGTATCCCCAATACTTACCTGAGCCCCATGAGCTCCTCCTCCCTCCCTCTCTCCCCCCCCCTCCCTCCCTCCCCCCCCCTCCCTCCCCCCTCCTCCCTCCCTTTTTGCCTTTGGGATAGATCATAATATCAAAGTATTTGGGTATGTTTATCGGATGCTGAGATGTGGTTTCTGTTTATTTTGCAGGTCCTGCTTGTTTGGAAAAAATCCACTATTGTGAACGCTTTATAGAACTTATGATTGATTTAGAGGTACTTTTTTTTTTTTTTGAATACTGTTTCTTAATTCCTAGATTGTAAGCTTGAAAGAGCAGGGCCCTCGAACCCCTCGTGTATTGTTTTGTTACTGTATTGTCTCATGTACCGTTCCCCACTATAATGTACAGCTCTGAGCAAACCTTTTGGCGCTATATAAATACTGTATAATAATAATAATAAGTGTACATCACAGGACACAGGGTGTCATCATATTATGACTACCTAGATTATTCTGCCACTCTCCGTTGAATGTACACTGACCTAAAAAAGGCAGACTTTCCTGCTCAGGCATAACTCCCCAGCTCAGCTAAGCATCAGTATTTTGCTTGTGTGCTTAGGTGATGGATGTGCCTGTGAAGTCTTTCTGAAGATTCTTTTTAGTGGGCATTCGACTTCTGGTTTCATGGCCTGTTCTGCACACCCCTACTGGGGAAGGAAAAGGTTTATTTCAGATCAGTCACCTAGAACCCTGAGGGATAGTAACTGGACCTCTCATGCAAGAGTGGGGACGGCGGTTATGGTTGTGGGCAACAATCTGTGGGGTACCTAGTAACCAGTGACCTTGCAGGCAGAGTGCTTTTCAGGTCCAAGGCAGTGTAGGGGTGTCTGGTCCCTGCTTTGTGGGCTGAAGAGTTGGCCTCTGACTTTGCAGCTGTCCCTCTGATGTGGAACACGTGTGGCAGTTCCCTAGTGATCACACGGGTGTCATTTTGGGTTCTTTGGGCAATGGACACGTGCAAATGGCAACTTAGTAGTCCTACATAGCTCCAGCACAGCTACAGAACAGCAGCCTTCAGTAGGATTTCTGGTGCTTCCCCAAGTAATGGGATACGTTTTGCAACACGGTGACTTGCCACATAGGTATCTGACAATTGGCGCACACTCCTCTCAGCTGGGTGGCCACAAGCCATGGCATTCGCAGACAGAGGGCTGGGGTGGGGTAGGGAGGACAATGGGGTGGGCTCTCAAAATCCTCCATCAGGTAGGGGGGATTCTGTGCTTAGTTTGTCATGATGACTTTTAAGGGCCATCTGAGCTCTGAATCTCTTACCTTGTATTTTCCACTGCTTCAGGGACACAGTCCTCTGGTTCTTGTCTAGGGACTAACTATCAGCAGCCATTTCTGGTTTGATTGACCAGCTTCCAGGGTCTTTACTGGTGTTGAATGCCTGGAACATGGGTGCTCTCCTTCTCTTCCTCCTTTTTGTGGAAGAATGAGGAGGAAGCCATTGAGGATCGGGAATCCTCTTTGGATGAGTCTTCTCAGGAGAAGGCTCAATATCCAGGACTGTTTTACATGCAAAAGAACATAGTGGCCTCCTGGTGCAAATAAAATTCGGAGTCCTTTTCTGAAAGTCACTGGATTTGAATCCTGGAGGTCGCCTAAGAATCTTAAATTTTTCCTGTGCATCCACCTTTGCAGAAAGTTCTATATCCAATTCGGACTCGCCAAGAGAAGGTGTGTCAACCCCAAAGTGATTCGCTCAACAGTACCCCATAGAGGCGGAATGTAAGATATGGGGACCTCTGGCTATTGCCCTGCCTGGAAGGGGGGGCTGTCTATTGGCCGTGGCGGTCTTCTGAGCTGGGGAAGTCACAAACAACTCAGTCTGCCATGTGTGTCGAGAGCTTACAAGCTAGAGTTTCACTGCTTTCCCCTCCATTTTTGTGTTTTGGAGCAGTTTGCTGTGCAGCTCTGGAAAGGCTGTTGTCTTTAGGGGGTCCTCATGCCTGTGCTGAAAAGGGGAGTAGTGTCTGGGCTTCTATTCCAGCCCGTTTGCGGTTCCCAAGCCAAATGAAGATGTCTGTCCTATTCTGGATGTCAAGGGTCAGAACAAATCCCTTAAGGCACATAAATTCAGGATGGATTCTACCCAGTCTATGATTGGTTCCTTGAGCAGGGAGAATTTGATTGATAGTACCAGTAGTATAATATACTGTATACTAAAATTTCTATGTTGTGACAGAACTACAAATCTCCTACTTGGTACAGTCAGATGTAAGGGAGCTCTAGGAGAGTCAATCTGAGATATTCCAACAATGTTTTAAAATCAGTGACCATTAGGCTATTTACAAATTCTTCAACAGTTCAAGATAGGTTTCTTAGTAGTCTGCTGCTGTACCCAGGATTATTCAGACAGGTGAAATCAATATAAAAATAAAAAAAAGTGGAGCAATTCAAAGAATGCACATATCCTAAGATGATACAAGGAGTAGACATATTCTCCTCGTCTGATGTAGAAGTATAGTGCACCTTATTAGGAGATAATGCTTTATATCCAGTCTTCCTTTTGTATGTAATCTTTCTCAGTCTCCAGGCTGCCTGCCATAGGAAGTATATGTGCTCTGCTTTGGTCTGTGTCTCCTAATGAAGGTGCGTTATACTTGTACATCAGGTGAGGGCACTACCAGTTTTTGGCATTGTCGTTCAGTCTTTCTGTAGCTTCCAGATTGTTTAGCAAGGTGCAAGGGCAAGTGGGCCCTTCATCTGGAGGTGTTTGCAAAGGTTTGTCATTTTGGATTTTCTTAGGTCTCTGGTCTTGGGTACCATCAAAGGCCACATTTTGGCTTTGTCCATCACATTCCAAAGACCTGTCCCGTCTTATTCTTTGGTAAAAGCCTTTTGTGCAAGGTCACACAGTGTGTTCCACCTCCATAGCCCCTGTTTGTCTCTGTGATACTTAAATTTTGTTTTGTCTGTTTCACAATCTTCTATTGAGTCTTTCCAAGAGATTCCATTGTGCTTCTTAAAGCAGAACTTTACCCATAACAACTTGATAAAAAATAATGTTCTTTAGCTAGGAACTTACATTCTACATTAATAATTATGCTACCAAAATTAGTGTGAGCTGTAAATTGCCTCCAGCATTGCTGCAGTTTCTTCTTGCTGCAGGCTGCTATTTTGCTGAAGCCCAGAGCCCCTGAACAGCAGTAAATTATAAAGTGGAACCAAACCCTTTGATTTAACGGTTTCAGAAAACCGTTAAATTCCTGGAATGCTGGGATTGCTAACTTTCACATTTATCTGTGTCCTCTACACTGTCAAACTAACGAAACTGCCAACTAAACAGTCAAACCATCAAATAGCTGGTGTCATAACTGATCACATGTACAGCACCATGGCAGTTGCAGTTCAAAGAGAAGCAGCTTCCTTGGCTGTAAAGGATATAGGAAGGTTTAATTCCTCTGTAAAGCTGTCAGCAGATTAGCCTCTACAAATTCTGCAGTGCCTAAAAATATAGAACAACTGAGCATGTGCAGAGTAGGGTCAGACAGTGTATTACTGGATTTTAAATAGTATAGGCACTTGTCTTTAATGTTTTGCATAGCTATAGCGGCAAAGTAATCTAGCAGGACTTAATTTTTTGACTAAAGTTCCCCATTAAGCGCAAGGTTGCCTTTTGGTTACCATTACTTCAGAAAATCTTGGAACTGGCTGCACTCTCCTGCAAAGAACTTTTCCTGTTTCTGCATCAGGATAGAGTGGTGGTGTGGTTTCAACCCTTTTTATTATTATTTTTTTTTTTACCTAAAGTGGTATCCTCATTCAACCTGATTTAGCATATTGTATTGCGTTCCTTTTTTCCTAATCTTAAGCATCCTAATAGGAAGTACTTCACATGTTTAATGTGGTCCTAGCTGTCTGGATATATCTGATGTGTACAGCTTTGTGATCATGCCTGAGTGGAAAATTCCTTTTTTTTTTTTGGCTAGTATCCATTCACCTGAAGGTGGCAGCCTAACCCAAGTAGCCATGAGTATGCTTGTTCTCTGTGTCCTGTGATGTAAGAAATGGATTTTACAGGTGGCCCACAATCAATATCTGTGAAAAAAAATCATAAATACATGCAAGATTGCCACATTTTAGGAGAATGTGTATGTATTTACAATATACTGTTATCTTGCAATTTCCTTTTTTGATTTAGCACTCCAGGTCATTGGTGTGAAATACTTGCAAAAAATTCTACAGTATGTATTTTACAGGATTCTGAGGGTTTCAGAGAGTCTAATTCTAATACAGAGGCTAATAATGTAGTTTATAGCAAATGTAGAACCTGCTGTTAAAGAATGGCCACACAACACTTAGATGTTTCCATATATTTGAGAGGCCTAGCTATCTAAACAATCCATTCCATATATATCCAGTCAGGTTGGCTCTGCACCTCATATACAGTGCCTTGAAAAAGTATTTATACCCCTTGAAATTTTCCACATTTTGTAATGTTACAACCAAAAAGTAAACATATTTTATTGGGATTTTATGTGCTAGATCAACACAAGGTGACACATAATTGTGAAGTGGAAGGAAAATTATAAATGTTTTTCTAACTTTTTTACAAGTAAATATCTCAAAACTGTGGCGTGCATTTGTATTCAGCCCCCTTACTCTGATACCCCTAATTAAAATCTAGTGGAACCAATTGCCTTCAGAAGCCACCTAATTAGTAAATAGAGTCCACCTGTGTGTAATTTTATCTCAGTATAAATACAGCTGTTCTGTGAAGCCCTCAGAGGTTTGTTAAAGAACATTACTGAACAAACTGCATTGTGAAGGCCAAGGAACACACCAGGTAGGTCAGGGATAAAGTTGTGAAGAAGTTTAAAGCAGGGTTAGGTTATAAAAAATATCCCAAGCTTTGAACATCTCAGGGAGCACTGTTCAATCCATCATCCAAAAATGGAAAGAGTATGGCACAACTGTAAACCTACCAAGATATGGCCGTCCACCTAAATGGACAAGCCAGTCAAGGAGAGCATTAATCGGAGAAGCAGCCAAGAGGCCCATGATAACTCTGGAGGAGCTGCAGAGATCCAAACCTCAACTGGGAGAATCTGTCCATAGGACAACTGTTAGTTGTGCACTCCACAAATGTGGCCCATTTGCAGTTTGCAAAAAGCCATTTGGGGGATACAGCAAACATGTGGAAGATGGTGCTCTGTTCAGATGAGACCAAAATTGAACTTTTTGGCCTAAAAGCAAAACGCTATGTGTGGCAGAAAACTAACACTGCACATCGCCCTGAAAACACCATCCACATTGTGAAACATGGTGGTGGCAGCATCATGTTGTGGGCATGCTTCTTTCAGTAGGGATAGGGAAGTTGGTCAAAGTTGGTGGGAAGATGGATGGAGCCAAATACAGGGCAATCTTAGAAGAAAACCTGTTAGTCTGCAAAAGACTTGAGACTGGGGCAGAGGTTCACCTTCCAGCAGGACAATTACCCTAAGCATACAGCCAGAGCTACTATGGAATGGTTTAGATTAAAACATTTTCATGTGTTAGAATGTGTCAGTCAAAGTCCAGGCCTAAATCCAAATGAGAATCTGTTACCAAGAGATTGCTTCCAGCTTTTTGTCAGTAAGGTCATTTAAAGAAAGGAGTATTCCATGTGAATGGTCAAAGCTTTGTTAAGGCAAGACATAGGCAGGTCATCTACAGGTGAGGAGTACACTGTTAAAATTGACAAAATCCTACTACAAAGAGGGAGGGAGTACCAGGAAGTACTTGGGTGGCAAAGAATTTCCAACATTTATAGATCCAATAATTGAATAGGAGATAACAGGGAACACCTTGGTGGGACATTTTAGTCTATGGGAACTGAGACCCAACACTTGTACAAGAGGGGATGAAGGGGTCTTCCAACTTCAAAGTGGAATGTGCTGCCTCTATTAGAAGCACAGTGTTTTTCCCTCTGTTTAGTTGACACAACTGTTAACAGAAAATCAATTGGTGATGCTTGCTTCTCTTGGAAAGGGAGGGGATTCAGTGACTGACAACAAATCATCTACTACATGCTCATCCAACTGGGTACTGTAGGAGGCGCAGATAGTACAATCCTTTCCTGTGCCTAGTTCAGCCTTGCACAGAGTGCAAATAGGGTTCTAGTTACGTGGCTCGGCAGCAGTTGCAGGGCATCCACCCTCACATTTAGCTCCAGACATGCTAAAGTAGCAGGGGCTTCAATGCCATAAATAAACTTTTCCAGGAACACTCACAGACCAAACCTGGGGGAGGCTCTGGAGACAGATGCACAGCGGAGGATGGTGGTAGCCATGGGCCTGTAGCTGACAAATCCCAAAGGCTGATCTGTGCTCTTAAGGCTTCTGTGATGTTACTGTGAGTAACCACTGATACTCCCCCATGTCTGAGGGAGCAGTGTGTGGAGAGCTACTCTGAGGGGTCACCACATAAAACACAAAATCATAGGTAGAAAGGGAAAAAGGCTTCATCCCCTTGTGACATCAAGCTGGTGGGAAGAATTGATGAGAGTTCGGACATGAGAAAACATGTCCAGCTGCCCAGTAAACCCCCCCCCCCTTCCCTGGCAGAACAGAGAAAAGTAAAAGTTAAAGCCAAAGCTGTAGGAGCCTGTGCACAAGCACACCACAGCACAGTTTTGTGTGTCCTGTGGATCAATAAATACACACTATATTCATCTCTACTCCGGTGTGCGACTGACCCTTCTTCCTATTACACCACAGCACCACATACTGAATAAAGGAGGATTTGTCACATATGCACAGCCTAATACAGAGCCGCAGGTACAATCATTTTCCCACACATACCATAGCACACTCTAGCTTCAGGGAAATAAGAAGAAAAATCCTTGAAACAGCATATTGTATATTCTGCTAGCCACCAACATGAAGTGTGTCTTTGGAGACAATGGCAGGAAATACTGCTACAGCTCTGGTCCCCATAACTTGGCAGGGTATCCCTAGATAAACTTGCTTGACCAAAAAGAGGAGTCGTGTGCTAACTAGAATACAGACAGATTGTCACTGCTAACTGCAGGACCGTCACAGAAAGAACACTGAACTGAGAAAACCTGCGCTCATTGGCAAGTTGGAGCAAATTCCAACATTTTTGATACCTGGTCTTAATTTATTGGTCGCTTTTGATAGTAGAAAAATCTGATCCAAAAAGGTTTGCTTACCACCAAGCTGTTTCCTTCTATTGATGATAGAAAAACTAGGTTAACTTTTTAAAAGGCGCTATTGATATATGTGAGAATTGTGTGGAACATTCACTCTGCCACAAGGTCAAAGCCCTTTTTCAGCTTTTAAAAATACAATTCAACTATTTAAATCTCATCTATGAATTATTGCATTTTGCAGAATGTTGTTAAGTTTTCCACTCTGGTTCCCCATTCAGGCTTTACTTCCCACTCGCCGGTGGTTCAACACAGTGCTCGATGACTCTCACCTCGTTGTACACTGCTATTTATGCAGTCTCTGCAAAACAGAGCAAGAAGGACATTTGTTTTCTCAGGTATAGTACTAATGTTTTAGACCATAGATTATGGGATTCAGTTGTATGCCCTCACTAATGATCTAACTCTATAGCTTCTAGACATGTTAAAGTTCTACGCTGGCTTTGAAATTAATGACCAGACTGGTAATGCACTGACAGAAAATGAAATGACCACCATTCACTATGACCGAATCACTTCTCTACAGGTATGTCTAGATTTCCAGTTTTAAATTCAAAATAACACCTGCAGAATAACTAATTTACTGCCAAGTAAATATACGGTTCATCATAGCAATCAAAGGCTAAATCAAGCTCATGACCAGAATACCAGCCATGAATGTGTTTGAAAATGAGTCTGCTGGCTTTCCTCCACTTAAACTACAATATCAGTTTTACATGCTGGCACAGTGACTAAGATTGGAGATCATATTTTTTATGTACTATCAGAAAAGTATGCCACCAACAAACCAAAATGCCCCAGGGAACAATATTGTTTGATCCATATATAAAGTTTAATTTCATAGCTGTCTCAAAGGTCCCTTTATCAGGCAACAGTGATGCCTGATAGTGACTGTTGCCTGATGAAGGGGCGCTTGCATTGCCTATAAAATATTGCTTTATTTATGTGATAAATAAATATTGCCTCCCAGAGTATTTTGGCAGGCTGGTGATATACTTTGCTGTATTGAGTAATAGTGAGCTGTATAGAGGTCCTGGAATCCTTAATCTATTTATAGTACACACATACACTGATTTTAGAAATTTATTTTTTAAATATGATTTTGTTCAATGCACCCTATTTGCACAGCATTAAAACACATAAGCATGGATAGACCCAGGGCTATCTGTATTGCAGATCTGTCTTGGTGTATCCACATTACTCTTCATAACTGAGTAGTACAAAGAGAAAGGAGATACAAAGAACAATGTGTAATGCAAGACTTTCTTGTGACTTTTGTAATTGCTGCTCCTATTGATTGCACAATTGGGGTTTATGATCTGCTTCAAGACACAGTCCAAGGCTGTCGGCAACAGGAGCATTCTGCTGGAACTTTAACATATTTTATGGACAGAACCAATATTACGCACTTACCATCCGAGCCCACTGTGATATTTATACATGTAAAAATCTGCCTTTTTTTTTTTTTTTGCTACAAATTTGCTTAGATCCCCTCCAAAATATATATTTTCAAAAAAAGCAAAGGACTTGATGAATAAAATGGTGGTTGTTACAACTTTTTGTGTTGCACATTATTTGCACAGCTGTTTATCAAACACAAGTTTTTTGGGAAAAATAATGAATTTTAGTGCACAAACACAACAGAATACTCAATTTTGGTTAAACTATAAAAAGGATCTCTTTCCTTCCTTCTCTTCCTTTCAGTTTTTTTTTCCTTTTTTTTTTTTTTTTCCTCTTCCTCCTATCCCTTATTTCTCTTAGGGTCCCGTCTTGCACTTTTGGAGGGGTTCTGCAATTGCATCCTCCCCTCACCACCCTGTGAGACATACAGTTAGGTCCATATGTATTTGGACACAGGCATAATTTTAGTTTTTTTTTTTTTTTTTTTTTTTTTTTTTCCAGGTATTTACTGAAACATATTCAAGCTATAGTTATATAATGGATATGGGCCGAAAGTGCACACTCTTAGGTTTAATTTGAGGGTATGTACATCCAAATTGGAGAAAGGGTTTAGGAATTACAGCTCTTAAAATTAGCCATCCCCCCTTTTTCAAGGGACCAAAAGTAATTCGACAATTGAATCAAAAGTTGTTTCATGGCCAGGTATGGGCTACTTCTTCGTTATGTCTTCATCAATTAAGCAAGTAAAAGGTCTGGAGTTGATTCTAAGGCTGGCCATACATTATACAATTATCTGGAGATTTTTGGTTTAGATTTACCAAAAACCATATAATAGGAGGACAAACTAAACAACACACTTTCAGTTGTATCCCATTAGGCAGGCCCTTGTACTACACAGTTGAAGGTAAATCTAAAGGAAATTGGGCAGAAAATTGGAAGATAATTGTATAATGTATGGCCAGCCTTAGTGTGGTATTTGCATTTGAAATCTATTGCTGTGAACCTACATCATGTGTTCAAAGGAGCTGTCCATGCAGGTGAAACAGGCCATTGTAAGGCTTCAAAAACGAAACAAATCCATCAGAGAGATAACAGTAACACCAACATTTGGAGTGACCATATCAACAGTTTGGTACATTCTGAGGAAAGAAGAACAAACTGGTGAGCTCAGCAACATAAAAAGGCATGGACGTCCACGAAAGACAACCGTGGTGGACGATTGCAGGATCCTCTCTATGGTAAAGAAAAACCACAACATCTAGACAAGTGAAGGGCACTCTTCAGGAGGTGGGTGTATCATTATCAAAGTCTACAATCAAGAGAAGACTTCACGAGAGCAAATGCAGAGGGTTCACCACAAGGTGCAAACCATTCATAAGCCTGAAGAATAGAAAAGCCAGATTAGATTTTGCCAAAAAAAATCTATAAAAGCCAGCCCAGTTCTGGAAAAGCATTCTTTGTACTGATGAAACTAAGATTAATCTATACCAGAATGATGGGAAGAAAAGTGTGGAGAAGGCTTGGAACAGCTCATGATCCAAAGCACACAACATGATCTGTAAAACATGGTGGAGGCAGTGTGCTGGAATGGGCAAGCATGGCTTCCAGTGGCACTGGGTCATTGGTGTTTATTGATGATGTGACAGAAGCAGACGGATGAATTCTGCAGTGTTTAGAGACATACTGTCACCCAGATTCAGTCAAATGCAGCAAAGTTGATTGGACGGCGCTTCACAATACAGGTGGACAATGATCCAAAACACAGCGCAAAAGCAACCCAGGAGCTTTTGAAGGAAAAGAGGTGGAATATTCTGCAATGTCTGAGTCAGTCACCTGATCTCAACCCAGTTGAGCATGCATTTCACTTGCTGAAGGCAAAACTAAAGGCAGAAAGACCCACAAACAAAGAACGAACAACTGAGGACGGATGCAGTTAGAGACTGGCAAAGCATCAGAAAAGAGGAAACCCAGTCTTTGGTAATGTCCATTAGTTCCAAACTTCAGGAAGTCCTTGCCAGTAAAGGATTCTCGACAAATTATTAAAAATGAACATTTTAGTTATAATTAAATTAATTTGTCCAATTACATTTGAGCCCCTGAAAATGGAGGGGCTGTGTATAAAAATGGTTGCAGTTTCTAAAATGTGTACTTGATATTTTATGTTCAACCCTTTGAATTAAAGCTGAAAGTCTGCACTTCAAATTCGTTTGGATTGTTTTGTTTTAATTTATTCTGGTGACATACAGAGCCAAAAGTATGAAAATTGTGCCTGTGTCCCAAATATATATATATGGACCTACGGTAACTGTATTTCCTATACTACAAAATATATTTGAATGTGGTAGTTTTATTCTGGAAATGATTTTAAAGTATTGAACTAAGCAGACTCACTAGATATATAGTTCAGTTTGCTTTTTCTTTTATTTTCTCTTTATTTTTTTATTACATAATAATGATGCATTAATGGACAATCCTATTGTATCAATTAGAAATCTATTTGGATAAGTGGGCATTTTTTGTGCATTAAGGAATGTGTTTGTATCTTATTACAATTCTTGCTTTAAAAAATATAAAAAATTTATATATATATAAAAAAAGGGATGTTGGGACGACTAAATAGATGCCTAACATGTCATGCTTTAAAATTGCACATGCCTGTGGAACGGTAACAAACTACTGTAACTAAAAATCTCCATAGACGTTTTAAAGCCTTTACAGGTTGCCAGTTTATATTTAAACAGGAGGTCTGGTGCTAGAATTATTGCTCTTACTCTGCCGTTCTTCCCAACAGTGCCTCATGTGTGGTACGATCACCGTTTACATATGCATATATGGGCAGATGGGGGTAATAATTTTTTTTTTTACACTGTCTCTTTAAACTTTCTTTTGGATTAACTTGCTGTCAGTAGGGATGAACAAAATCCCTTGTGATGGCATGGGGAGTGACAAGTCCTCTTTATGGAGAGATCTGGGGTCTGTTAGATGTATCTTTCACAGTGGTCCTGCACTCTCCAAACTCACTGGAGAGCCCAAAAAACAGCGTTGGGGGGCACCAACGCAGGAAGTAATGATAAGGCATAGTGACATTGGTGTGCCTCCAGTAAGTGGGATCCATGGCAAGATTTTTTTATTAGTGCTTTTTTGCCATTTATTTAGGGGCATGGGAAGCTGACTATTAAAATAGACCTTGCATTCCATTCAAGGACTGGTTTAATCCATAGATAATGTTCATCAGAGTGTTAATGTGCATTAACAAATTAAATAAAAAGTCTACTAAGTACTACTTCCATCTGAGCTATAGAATTTGACCCCTGAAGGAATCTGTTGGATAAAAACGCTTATTTATTATATCTCCAAGGCTCTAAGGCAGCATGCACACTTTTTTAAGCTCTTAGAAGCTGTTGTTAGCATTTTTCTGCTCCTAGAAGCTAAATAGTGTTATCTTATGTGTTCATGCACGCTACTTTTTTCGGAGCATTTTTCCAGCAGGAAAAAAAGGCTAAATACTCCTAACAGCTTTTTTTCTAGTTTTTTTTCCCTACATGTACTATAAAAATGCTAATAAAATACCATCATTTCTAAACGCTACTAAAACGCTACTATCAGCATTTTTTAATCCAGTGTTTTTTCCAGCATTTTTTGAGCCCAAAAAAAAAACGCTAGTTGGCATTTAGCCTAACAGTCAAATAAATGTGAAATAAATATCTTCTAGCACTTCTAGCATTTTATGACTGTGAGTAGAGGGGAGGACCTGCTCCCATAAACCAGAGCTTTTCTCCATGTGTTTTGTGTGTGTTTTTTGCATTGGTGGGGTTTGGCATCGAGCTCAGAGTGCTGTTCTCAATATACTACATTGCTGTTTAAAGCAGGACAGATGCGGACAGCAAAGTATTCTGGATAACTAGTTTGGGGGCACTGTTTGGAATGAACCCATACCAGGTTATAATTAGGCTATAGGTAGACATCTAAACACGTTCGGTTATAACTAAACAGTTCTTTTATGAGAAGCCTTTTTTTTTTTTTTCACTGGAGTTTTTTTGAATGGTCAGTGATATTTATTTATTTCAGGTACATATATATATATATATATATATATATATATATATATATATATATATATATATATATATATATATATATATATATATATATATAGTGCTGTCAATTTGCGCATGATAGGTAGGCAATAGGAGGCTTTTAAACACAACATTTTTGATGCTTTGTTCTGTTGTGGTTCTGTTTATCATTTGTAGCTACTATATGCCAAATTTGCTTGCTCTCTGGTTGTAAAACTCAATATTCTGCCTTTTCTTGCAAGGTGTGTATTTCTTTGTAAAGCAAAACGGTGAGCAATGTGAAACTGTTCTGATTAAAGTCTTAACCCCCTCCTACATGCGACTCCCGGCCCTTTAAGATGTTTCAGACAGTGGGATGTGGAGACAGGCATTTTGAGCATGTGACCTACGGGATTGGCTGTCACAGCAGTCACATGATCGGAAAACTCCCAATGTCAGATAGTGATTGGGAGCTTTCCGTTACCGAAGGGTGTCCTCTCGGCACAGCATTGTTTACATTTTGACCCGTGTGTACTGAGCTTTAGATTCCTAAGATGTTTTTTGACGGACTTTACCATACTGTGTGTGTATGTATATAATATGTGTGTATGTATGTATTTTTTCTTCTTTAAGCTTGAAAAGTTTATTTTTAATCTTTGTTATTTTGGTTCCTTTCACATCTCTTTCCCTAGAGAGCAGCATTTGCACACTTTCCAGAACTTCTTAACTTTGCACTTTCCAATGTGGCAGCTGTGGATACACGGGAATCCCTTGTGAAGTTCTTTGGACCACTGGGGTAAGTGGCTTAATGCAGTCTGCTTTATTAAAGGTAACTTGTGATGTAGTATTAATAGTTACATAAATGTTTAACCACTTGCTCTTCAGGAAGGTTTTATCCCTTTCATGACCAGAGCATTTTTTGCTATTCAACACTGTGCTACTGGCATTTGCTCGGTCATTTAACACTGTACCCAAATGAACTTTAATTTTTCACAAAAATAGAGCTTTCTTTTGGTGGTTCACCACTGGGTTTTTTTTTAATATACAAAGACCAAAAATTAAAAAAAAAGCCCAATATTTTCTGCTTTAATAAAACCTATAACAATATAAAAAAATATATATAACTTCTTCATATGTTTAGGCTAAATTGTATTCTGCTACATGTCTTTGGTAAAAAAAAATTCCAATAAATGTATTTTAATTGGTTTGTGTGAAAGGAATAGCATCTACAAATGGTGTATATATACTGGAATTTATGTAGCTATGACACCCTACTTATAGTGGCAGTGATCAGCAACTTATAGTGGCACTGTGATAGTGTTTCTGGCAATCTGATTCTGGCTGGGAAGTATACTAACTGACACTGACATCAATAGTGACACCAATACAGTGATCAGTGTTAATACTATACATTGTACTAATGATACTGGCTGGGAAGGGGTTAACATCAAGGGACAATCAAAGGGCTAACTGTATGCCTAACAAGTGTAATGTGTGTAATTTGTGCTCCTTTTACTTACAGATCTAGCTGTCTTTTCTTCCTGTTTTACAGGAAGAAGAAACTGCCAGATCACTGATCTGTGATCAGCGCTCTGTGATGTGATTGGATACAGCCGATCAGCAGGTCTCAGCCATAAGCCATTGGCCGGGACTTGCTGACAAAATCCCATTGTAGACATTGACAACGAGGGTTAGCAGCGGGCACGCACATGCGTACCTTTAACCAAAAACAGGTTGGATGACATACATGTATGTGATCCAGTCTGCTTGTGCAGCAGGAAGCAGTTAATTTTACAAGATTCCAAACTTCTCTCCTTTGTCCCTTTTTTTTTGATATTGCTTTTAAAATATTTAAAAAGTGATACTAAAATAACAAACATATCATATCACAAGTGTAATAAAAGCGCCACACCCTTAATACTTTAAAGCAGCAATTCCACCTCAAAGAAACCAAATAAATTCTTAGTGCTATAACTTAAATAAAGGAATGCGCTAAAACCACAAACTATTCCTAATTTAGTGTAGAAACATTAGTGCAAAAGATATATCTATTCTCAATTAATATCAAAAAATATCAAAATTATGTGCAAAACTATTTTTTAGTGCATAAGTAATTTAAATAATTAAATTTGTGAATATAAAAAAAATGTCCCACTCTGAATTTCTTCAAAATGTCCAAACAAATCCTTTTCAAATTCAGGTGCTCTCAAAGAAATTGTGCCAAAATCCACCACCAAAAGTAAAGTTGGGTAACTCACCAGAGCTCCATGCTGATCAATCTCTAGATCAGCAAAAAACGCTTTTTGCTCTGGGAGCAGATGCAATGAATCAACTTCTCAGGTGTGATGATCAATAGCTACACAATCATCCATAAGGTAGGTATCCACCACTCAATATAATGGTTCCAGGAGCATTATATCACTCTCTCTTTTTATATCTCTCCACCGAGGTCATGTTTGGGAATGAAAGAGAAAATCATGGTGCAGCCAGTTTTTTATAAAAGTATCCAACAAGTTAATAAAGATTTACACTCACAAAAAGGGTGTCTTCACCGACACCAGTATAACAGCATAAAACAGCAAATGGTATAACAGTCTCCTGTTCCCCGTACACTCACTACAGCGCTCGTGACTTAATTTTCTCCACAAACGTCAGCATCCAACAAGCCCTACTAGTTTCGTCATGAATGACGTCTTTCATGATGAAACTAGTAGGGCTTGTTGGATGCTGACGTTTGTGGAGAAAATTTTGGCACAATTTCTTTTGAGAGAGCACCTGAATTTGAAAAGGATTTGTTTGGACATTTTGAAGAAATTCAGAGTGGGACATTTTTTTTATATTCACAAATTTAATTATTTAAATTACTTATGCACTAAAAAATAGTTTTGCACATAATTTTGATATTTTTTGATATTAATTGAGAATAGATATATATATCTTTTGCACTAATGTTTCTACACTAAATTAGGAATAGTTTGTGGTTTTAGCGCATTCCTTTATTTAAGTTATAACAAACATATCATACTTACCTGCTGTGTGCAGTGGTTTTGTACAGAGCAGCATCTCCTCTTTTCGGGTCCCCCGCTGGAGTTCTTGCCCCCACAGCAAGCAGCTTGCTATGGCGGCATCTGAGCAGGCTTGCTCCCGAGCCGCAGCTCAGCATGTCCATTCACACACAGATCTGCGGCTCAGCCCAGCCCCTTCCTCTCCTGATTGGCTCACAGGCTGTGATTGACAGCAGCGGGAGCCAATGGCTGCCTCAGCCAATCAGAAATGAGAATCCTTGGAGAACCTAGGCTCTCGTGGACATCGCTGGATCAGAATGGGGCTCAGGTAAGTATTAGGGGGGCTGGGTGGGCTACTACACAGGATTTTTACCTACATGCATAGAATACATGAATGTAAAAAACCTTGAGCCTTTAGAACCACTTTAATATGTTTCTCACCCATTGAGGTGTGTATGGAGGTTGCCTAACTTGTTACCTTATATTTACATGGTGGATATGTGAGGTGAAGAGTAAAGGCTAAAGAAAACACTACCTGTTAAGTGGTGTACGCCTCAGTCTGAACAGTCACCATTTTGGTGCATGGTCAGATTCTTTGGCGCTTTATGTTTTGGAAATGTAGAATTTGAAGGTGGTGTAATTTCATAATTTTGGTATTTTTAAAATTCTTAAAGTGGTAGTAAGGTGACTTTGTTCATTTTTACCTACAGAATAAAGCTTACCTGTAGGTAAAATGAATATCTCCTAAACGTTTACCTTTTAGGAGATTTTCTACAGAGCAACAGCCGATGCCATCACTGGCAAAGAAACACAAGGAGGCGCCACTAAGTACAGTATTAAAAGCCGCTTTAATGTCAAAAAGCATCAAACTCACATGTCTACAGAAGTTGCAAGCATATTAGACCTGGATACTCCAGCCTAATGGATCACGACCGCTCCAGGTTGAAAACACAAGCAGTGGAAAATGTCAAAGCAGCGTTCTCCACCACTTGTGTTTTCAACCTGGAGTGATCATGATCCATTAGGCTGGAGTGTCCAGGTCTACTATGCTTGCAACTTCTGTAGACATGTGAGTTTGATACTTTTTTGCTAATTTAAAGCGGCTTTTAATACTGCACTTAGTGGCACCCCCTTGTGTTCCTTTTCCGTTTTCACAGAGATAGATTTCAGTCCCATGGTGGAGCTGCCTACATGGTGGCTTTTTATTGACTATGGACTGCTATAAAGATATGGACTATATGCACTTATGATTTAAACGCACTTTCAAATGTGTTTATTTTTTACATGATTATATTCCCTTCCCCCTTTCTCTGAGCATTTAAGCTTTGCACCCTATACACTGTATATTATACAATGGAGCACTACAGCTTCCATCAAAAGCCATATCAGTTCAATTCATATTCCTAAGCCCCTGCAAGCAAGCTTGTTAAATGGGATATATAGTGTATTCTAATCATTCAGTACAGCACACGGAACTGGTATTTATAGTCTATAGGTTATATGCCTGCTACTTGCAGGTGATTGGAAACTGGCAAAAACCTTTTCCAGGGCCGCCCCTAGTGTGTACCCATAAAACCCCACCCACTCTGAGGCGTCATTTTCTTTTTTTTTACTATCCTTACGTGATGGGTTCTCTTTTGGAGAAGTAGTTTTCTTTTCAAACCCTTGAAGTTTTTGAGTCTGAATATTCTATGAACATCTGATTGATTATTGCCTTGCAATACCTAGCAATTTCCGGATCGATTACCCTCAGTTTGTACTTCAGGGACTGTACCTGGATCCCTCTGTATTGTGCCAGCCTGTATCGGGCACGGGATCCTGTGTTAGGGCTTACCTTGGCACAAATTGCAACAAGTGAAGTTGACTGCAGGGTGCTATACAGGTCCAGGGATCTTGGTCCATTTTTATGGTATCCAGACCCTAAAGACGCCTTTTGGAGGTACGCCCACCATGACAGGCAAAGCCTAGAGCTTACTATGACAGGGTTTTCCTGTAAATGGACTTTGATTTCTGGCTTTAACAGTATACACAAGTCATAGCACTATATGCTGCATATTGGCTAGTGGATTTGGTTGTTTATTGTGGCAGCCCTTTTATGTCTGTCAATTCCAAAAGTGCTCTCTGAAAAGCAGAGACAAATTCATCTATGTACAAGGTGCATCCTTCTAAATAGCATCCCATTAAGTGCAGAAAGTCCATAAACTATGAATCTTCAGTGTGATAGACAATCCATTTTACTCCTCCAAAACACTTTTGCCACCATGTGTTCTTCAACTTTAAACACTCCATCCCCCTTTTGGAGTTGAAGTGACATTTAGATCCCATTCGCACTTGTGTGACTTGTCATGCGACTTTAGACCTCAAAATCACTTGACAAGCCGTACCCCATGTTTCCAATGATAACCATTCATATATTTGCGACTTAAGGTTGCAGTAGTTCAAAGTAGTTCATGCATGTCTTTGGTCTGACTTTCATGCAACTTGAAGGCCATAGACTTCAATGTTAATCTTCAAAAGTTGCATGAAAATTGTACCTGAATGTTTTACATGCAACCTTGCTGCAACAGTGGGTCTGACTTTGCAGAGGGACAAGTCACACCTATCCAAGTTGCATCAAAATTGCACTCCAAAGTTGCGCAACTTTTAAGTCATACAAGTGTGAATAGTGCCTAAAGGTTGTTGTGTTTTTTTTTTTTTTCCTAAACAACAAACATATTATACTTACCTGCTGTGTGCAATGGTTTTGCACAGTGCAGGTCCCCTGCTGGTGCTCTAGGCTCCTGCCTAGTGCCCCCATAGCAAGTAGCTTGCTATGGGGGCACCCAAGCAGGCTTGTTTCCGAGCCACCGCTCTGCATGTCCATTTTACACATGAAGTGCTTCTCGTCCCCTGCCCCCGCTCTCGTCATTGGCTCACTGGCTGTGATTGACAGTAGTGGAATCCATTGGCTACCGCTGCTGTCTCAGCCAATGAGGAGGGAGAGACCCAGGAAAGCCGAGGCTCTGGTGCACATCGCTGGATTGAGATGGGCTTCAGGTAAGTTTTAGGGGGGCTGAGGGTGCTGCTGCACACAGAAGGTGTTTTACCTTCATGCATAGAATGCATGAAGGTAAAAGCCTTGAGCCTTTACAACAGAGTTCGGCAGCTCATCGATCGTGATCTTACCTGTTGACCGCTGACAGGCGACAGGTAGATTGCGTTCTAGTCCCTAAACTGCCGGACCCACAAGTGCTTCTCCTCTTTTCTCTGAGATTGGCGGGCAGAGCAGAGATGAGTTCAGGCGTCTTTTCACCTGGGCTCTCAAGCCGGGAAGCAGTCAAAACGAGTCCTAGGTAACGGAGGGATGGCGGGATCAGCACACCAGAACAGGTTGATCAGCATCAGGAAACCACTTATGTGCCTTCCTGACCCCCAGCACCATACCCCCCTCATCTCTATCTCTCCGTAATCCCTGTCCTGCTTACCCCTGTCATCTGCCATATTGATCCCTGTACACTGCTCTACATGCTACTGACCTCTGCACACTGCAATACATGTCTGACCTCTGTACACTGGCCTACCTGTTTTTGGCAGGTACCCGCTCCCACTTCCGGCTCAGTTCGCTGTAGCAAACTGAGCCAGAGCTTTGGCCCCCCTCCTTCCTCCTGCAGTCTCCTGGGAACCTTCACAGGTCCCAGAAGACTGCTGGACCAATCAGAATGCGCAGCACGACCTGCTCATGCGCAGTGGGTGCTCGGCTGTGAAGCCACAAGCTGTCATAGCCTGGTACCCACAGTTGTGATGCTGGTGCCGAGGAGAGATGGGACAGAGTAGGTGTGCACATCGCTGGACCCTGGGGCAGGTAAGTGTGTGTTTATTAAGAGTCAGCAGCTACAGTTAATAAACACAAAACTGACTGGAACTCCGTTTATAACGTCTTAAAAAATAAAAGATTGCTCCTTTCTTCCATGTTGTCAGAATAGATCTCAAAGGTTGCCTACCCTGCTTATAACCAATTTAAGCTCATAAAAAGTGTTGTCTTTGCATGAATGGAATAAACATTTATCTGAATCTCTGGATGGCATGCCTCAATGGTACCTAGTGCGCGTGCTTCTTTTGGTAGGTGGTGACATCACTGTGCCGTAGTCCTGCCCAACGTGTTTTGTCACACTGACTTATTTTAGTAGTGGCTATCGAAAGAGTCAGTGTGACTAAACGCATTGGACAGGACTAAGACACAGTGACTTCAGCACACACGGAAGGACGCATTCATGCAGTATGTACCACTGTGGTGCAAACCATTTAGAAATTCAGATGAAAGTTTATTCTTTATGTACAGGCAAGCACTTTTTAAATGTGCAAGACTTTCCACATTCGCAAAATTCTAGGTTGCTTTTAGGAAATCTAAAAGAGCCTCTCTGATTGGTCTTTGACCTCTTCCATTTTCCTCTCCCAAAACCTCACTTCTTCACATGCCTCTACTCTGCTTCACCAATACTACATTTGTTAACTGGCTAAATGTGCTTTGTTGTATGGCCGAATGTCTTCTTTCCCCTAACCAACACTTTGTGAGTCCCCCACAAATGGGTCGCATCAGGTACTTTTTATGTAAAAATCCAATACAGTTCCGTAAATAACATACTATTACACTAGTGATTCTTGATAATGCTACTAGAAGACTAAAATAATTGCTGCCCTCCTAGAATACAGAATTGTGATTTGGATGAAGCCTTCCATACCAGTAGACATTTACAGAATTGTGGAATCACAGATTCTAGCTTCTGCTTAGGTCACATTTTACATTAGATGCAAAGGCTATTCTTTTAGCTTTTTTTATTTGTTTTGATACAAGTAGTTTTGTGTTCACTTGGATAGATAGCCTGATTGATTGTTTAATTGTTTTGCAGTTCCAATACTCTCCACCAGGTGGCATCATATCTCTGCTTATTGCCAGCTCTCTCTGAAGGAGAGGAGACCAAATATGACAACGAGTTTCTCTTAGAGCTCCTGGTAGGTATACACAAGATAATTTACCAGTAACCTACATTTCCTATATATAAAAGACCTCCTTGAAGGGTAATGATTAGATATTATTTTCCAGAGTAAGATGTAAAATGCAACTCTTTGCTTTATAAATATGTTTTCATATGTTGCCATTGTTTCTTAGCAGTCAGCATTCCCACATGAACAGTGTTGTTTCTAATATCTTTTCTGCAGGTGTCCCGACATGAGCGTCGTATTTCTCAGATCCAGCAGCTGAACCAGATGCCCTTGTATCCCACAGAGAAGATCATATGGGATGAGAACATAGTACCCACAGAGTACTATTCTGGGGAAGGTGAGGCTGCTGTAAACTGATCTGAAATACTCGTAGTGACTGCTCTAATGAGCTCTAATATCAGGAAACCCACCAATATAACCCCAACTTTGAAATGTGATCTAATTTTACATCCTAGAACAGCTAACATGGATGAGTCCTTTAACAATTTCACTGCCTTAGCAATAATGCTGTAAATAAAATATAGATTATGGGGGCTTTGTATGAGAAAATGATTGCATATAGTCCTTTACTGTATGGATCTATTTCTAATATCTTTGCTTAAGATGGAAAATGAAAACAAACAACTGGCAGGGGGGGGTGTTCAGCACTATCATACTTTTCCGTTTCTGCATTTTTAGGCCCATGCACAGGGATGCTTAGCAGCTTCTTTGTGCTGAGACATAAAATTTCTGGTCCATGTGGCGCCACATGTGTCATACAGCTGCCAGTTCAATTGAATGGATCTATACAGCCATGCTCGTCCAAATGCCGATAGCTGCTAAATGACATTTACCCTGCGCATGCATATACGGCATTACTTTCGGAGCATGCCATTTGCAGAAACGATCAATGTTTACTCAAGCATGGCCATGTACAACCATTCACTTATGCTGGCAGCTGTACGTGGCATGTGTGGCTTCCTGGGCTCCAGAGTGTGTAAGAGCATTTATGCCTCAGCATACAGGAGGTACTAAGCATCCGTGTGCATGAGGCCTTATAATGAATCACTATTGAATCTTGTAGTAAAACTAATCAGACCAAAAACATTTCTGCTTTAGGGGCAGTGGTTCATGTAAGTTAGTATGTAGATTGTGATAGGAGGATTTTGTCATGTTTGTTACACAGGTTTGTTTGCACTTATAAGCAGGTAGATAAAATGTGAGACCATTTAGTTTTATACTTTTTCTAATTGCTAATAATTTCATTGTATCATTTATCTGATATTAGCAATATTTGTATGTATCAATAGCCATGTTGCATGTTTTTCTCCAGTCCAGCTTTACATTCCATGTTTTTTTTTTTTCCCCCTAACAATGCTGCAATCCTAAGGGGCAACCCTCCTCCAAAATATCCTATTGGTTATGGGTGGACACTATTGGGCACCTTCACCCTTTAACTTCATACATCAGTTGGGGAGTCAGTGGCAAGATGTGGAAAGAGCTCCTTGTAGTTCTCATCTATGGCCTCCCTCACCACAGAGTCACTTTTTTTTTGCTGCATCCCATCCAGCAGGGAAAAAAAAATTCCCTTGGTTAGACCCATTTGTAAGTTGTGGCACAACAAGTGCTTTAAATGGAACAAAAAGCATTTCATTTTGGTCTTTGCAGTTTTCCAGTGTGATCTTACATCTTCATGATATCAGGAACCTCTATGTATTGCCTTCAGCCCCACTGCAGAGATCTTCACTGTTTGGCACTGCCTGGCACGGCACATCTTTTGTCTAAAGTGACTCCCGGATGGGCCCTGCTCCTAATGTGCATACAGGCTAAGACCTCCATATATTCTACGGGCTTGGTTCCTGTGGGTGTCTGTGTAATCCACAAATGCAGATCTAACTATATGAATTTACAAGGATTGCAGTGCACAGCTCCCATTCAAGACTATTTTCAAGCAAAGACTGGGCAGCTCCATATAGTAAAGACCTGCTGCTTCAATCTGGAGATATGTATTTTGCCATTTGGATTTCACTGTGGGACAGCAGGAATAGCTGTGACAGAAGTTTTCACTAAAAGTGAAGTTGCCCTTTAAGGGTTGTACTTTCACTGCATATATGAAGAAAATGTTTCACATTTTGACATTGTCATGTTACAGGCTTGCGTGGGTAAAATGTATGTTCTTTCTTTCCAGAAAGAATAGCTGTTGATTTGCAATAAATAAAACTTGGCCTGCCTTGCTAACAATATCTCTGGCACTTGCGGTCCCCAAAATATGTCCATTTCAGCACTTTACCTGCAAATAGTGTTTTGCACTCTTGTGCTGCTTATCCATTAACAGTCATAAACTGTCTGCAACTGAGTAAAAGTGTGTAGACCTATCTTAGACCGGCACATGGAGAGTGATTATTTGTCTGAGGTAGTAATAGACTGTCATTTTTACTGAAGCAGCCCATAGATGTCATTTTTTTTTTTTCATTCATTCAGCATGCTGAATGGAAAAAAAGAAGCCTCAATTTCTATCCACACACTCCATGTGAATGGGGGAGTACTCCCCACTGAGCTTTTGTATTTTGACAGCCGGGAGACTTACCATCAGAATACACCGATCAGCACTGCTCACTATAGCCTGCGGTGCTGATCGAGCGTGGAAACCCCCAAAGTCAATTGGTAGATCAACCTCTGTAGAATCAAAGTGCCTACACATGGATTGATATTTGTCAGGTCCCTGCTAAACTTAGAATTTCAATCTATGTATGCTGGCTTAAGTGACCATCACTGGAGAGAAGAGAATTCTCAGTGGCTTAGTACAATGACACTGTCTTTGAAAACTGTTCAGATAGGATATCGGTGTCATAGGCAGTGCTTTTGTTTTCAGAGGGCTGCCCAGATTACAGGCTTCTCAGGTAATAAAAAAAAATTGCATTTACTTTTTTTTTCTTGATCAAACCGTACAGGAAGCAAGCATGGTCTTGGATAACTGGATTATATGTTGCTATCTTCCAGTGATTGGACACTGGTAAGCTAACAGAACTGTTAGGACCCCATATAACCCCTTTCATTGAGTTATCCTTCATTTTCTTGCTAGTGTCCTTAGGTGACGGATTTTTTTTTTAAAGGCAGTTTTTTGGGGGTGGGTTTCTGAATTTTTTATATCTGATTGTACACCTGCATCTCTTAAATTATACTGTGTCTGAGGTAAATCTAGTCAGCAGCTTTTCTCTGTTGTGCGGTTGACCTAAACTCCAATGTCCTCTAGTGGCACTGAGGGTAGACATTTTGGGACTCTCATTATACCCCTTCCACTGAATTGTTTTTATTTTGTGAGTACCTGGCTTCACCTCACTTGCATGTGGCAGATAGCACACAGAGAGGATGGGGCAAAGGGACATTTGGACACTCAATCTGCAAGTGGGTCTGGGGGCATTATTTCTGCTCTCTGTGAGGTCTCTATCTCTGATATTAGGACTCCATCTCTGATATTAGGACTCCCTGCTCCTCTTCTGAAGCCCCACATCAATCCTGTTTAAACAGGAAGGAATTGTCCTCTTCTATGGCAGAATTTTTGGGGAACTTACCACCCTGTGGGAATCATCCGAACAAAGGGAATATAAAGGCTACTTTTGTTTTACTGACCCTGTCACGCAAATTGGTGAGACCGGAAGCATGTTTCTGGACCCTGGTTCCATTCTTACAGATTCTTCTGTTAAGTATCTGGAATTTGTTCCTACTACTCTGTGGCGTTTTGTAGATGGTCTTGGAGATAACCTACAGCCTTCTGTCCATTCAGATGCATCATATCCTGTGGCACAAGTACTTGTTTGCAGTACAGCTGGCATGTAAAAAAACACCCGGAGAGGTTACCTTTTGAAGGACAACATTTCTTTTGTGAACATCTTTTTTTTTTTTTTTTTTTTTAAATCAGAAATGCCACTGGTGACATTCAACAACAAATCCTTCTGTTTTAGGAGTTACTTTTGTCTTTCCCAAGCCTCGCCTCTAAGTCTAAGCCCAGTACCTCCTTTCTCTGCAAGCTCTGGACTCCCAATCCGGCTAAGCCAGGCTCCAAGCCCTCCTGTCAGTGACAGGGCATCCAAACTTTTTCAAGTTTAGGGGGATGTCTGACAGCATTCTCGGCTGAGTTTGAGACATTCCAGACCTCTGGGTCAGGATTGTTGTCTCCAGGGAGGTGCAGGATGGAGTTTTGCACCTTCCTTCCCTAATTTGTGCCTTCCAATCTGGCGCCTTCTCCAGAGATTGGATGACCTGCACTCTGCTGTTCAGCAATTGCTCATTTCATGGGGCATTGTTCCTGCATTTGCAGGGGAGAGCTTTTAGAGTTTTTATTTTCAGCCTGTTCATCGTTCCATTGGTGATTTTAGTCCTAACCTGGACCTGAAGTGTCTGAACATCTTCCTTCGGATTCAGATGTTTTGAATGGAATCAGCCAGGTCATTCACTGAATCCCTCCAGCAGAGAGATCTATCGCTGTCAGTGGACATGAAGGATGCTTACTTATAAAATCTTATCTTTCTCCAGCAATAGTTTTGTTCTGTGGTGAACGACTGTCATTTGCAATTTGTGGCCCTGCCATTCAGCCTATCCATTGCTCCTTGGGTCGTCACAAAAGTCTTGGCCTCTGTTCTGACTCTTCATCACTCTTAGGGAGTCCACATTGTGGGACACCTGTAAGATCTGCTGTTGAAAGATTGCACCATCCAGGCTTTAAATACCAACATACAATGGACTATGCAGATTCTGCAGAAACCTTGGGTGGCTTCCCAAACCTCAGGAAGCTCTGCTGGAACTAACTTACCATCTGGTGTGTTTGGAGTTGGTCCTGAACACATGCCAGTTTTTTCTCCTCTTTAACAAGATCAGATCTCTTTGCTTTTTAACAGAGCAGTATAGGGTTATTCCCCCCCCCCCATTATTTATTTCAGGTACTTATATAGCGCTGTCAATTTACGCATTATACTTTATACCTATACTTACCTAGATTGATGAAGCATAGGTCCGATGCGTCATCGATAACCCTCCGGCTCTAAGGGTGAGAATTCAGCGATCACTGATCTCTGAGTTCTCCTCTCTGCTCTGAGCAGAAAGTGGGACTGTGAGTCACCGCTCACTGCTCGGCCCCCCCAGAGCTCACTGGAGCGCTGGGCTGTGAAGGGGGTGGGAACGGCTTGGCTTGCTCAGGCTCTCAGCGCTTTGCTGAGAGGCTTAACTAGGTGCTGCTCCAGATTCTGAGGTGGATCCCGACTGTGAAGTCGAAATCTTTCCTCGGTCTGGACCGGCTGAGTGAGGTCAGCCGACAGCGGACTTCAGTCAGCTGTCAGCTGAAAACAGGTCACAGGAGTGCAGAATGAACTGCACGTCTGTGATCCACATGAGAAGTACAGCAAAAAGAGCTTTTGGCGGTACTTCTCCTTTAAGCACAGATAATCCAATGTCACCCTTCAGAGCACTTTTGCAGGAAGGTTCTAGAACTTGATGGCATTCTCATTTGAGGCAGTGCCTTATGCACAATATATTTCCAGACCTCTGCAACTCGGCATCCTGTGTGTGTAGAACACACTGACTCCCATCCCATGCGCTTGTCTCCATCAGCCCTTTCCTCCCTGACTTGGTGGATTTCCGATTAAGCAGTTGAACAAATTTACACTTAGTGCTCTTAACTGAGATAAGTACCCAATATAGAGAGAAGTGCTTTGTTAATTTTCTATGGCTGAGGTTTACAACCAATTTAATTCTTATTACGTGCTACAAAACGGAGGATGTCAGTGGAAGCGGTTATATGGGGGTTCTAACAGTTCTGTTTGCCAGTGTCCAATCACCTGATGGTAGCAATGTATAACCCATATTTCTAAGATTATGCCTGCATCCAGGACTGTACTCCAACAAACAGATTTTACAGGTAAGTCAAAAATCATTTGCTTGCATTGGAGGCTGAAAGCATTGCAGTCGCGATCAGTGGATTGTAGGTGCACAGCTCTGGCACCTGCACACTATTTATTTCTCCAGCTGCAAGTCCATTCTGAGGTATGTTGAAATAGAAAGAAGAGTGAATAGGTACATACTAAAAGCACTTCATGCTAAAAAAAAGTAATAAATAGATAGAATTCTGTCTTAGGGCAAATTGATTTTATGTGGTCCTGCAAGGATCCAATACACACATTTTATGTAAAAACAAACATTTTTTTTATTAGACTACATTAAATAAAATCATTGCAGATATAACAACAGCCTCCTATGTGGCTTAACAATTGGTGCTCAATTTCCATTTAGAGCTCAAACTCCTTGGAATCCTGAACATATGGAAAGAAACATAATGTTATGTAGCCGTTTCACTAATCAGAAATTATCCACAGGAAGGAGCTTGTGTATCGTAACACGTTTCATGGACTTTAAAGTCACTTCGCCAGTGGAGAGGGAACAACAAATGATCTAAAATCCAAACAAAAATAAATGTATTATAATATACTGTATATGTACAGAACATATTGCCATCAGAAATATGATTAAACCTGGTATGATGTAAACTGGTCACCGATGCTCACTGTTGTCTAAGACTCACCCCTGCGGCTACACATATGCCTGTACCGTTGAACCCCCTGGGTGTGGACATAGGGGCTCATCAGGAAAAGCTAGGTGGGAAACATGGGCACATAAGGTACAGACCTTCAGTTACAGGGCTAGAGGAAGTATCGATGAACTACAAATGAGGTGATGTTACTGCACTTGTGCCCCATTGAGAACTACGAGTCCCTCTCGTGTGGTTTTCATACGGGCATTGCAGATCTTTTTATTCACAAAATCCAGTGAATGAATGACGCAGCTGTGTGGACAGAGCCATGTACAGCCACCCTGATTAAAAAAAGACATGATGGGACCTGGTGGGAGAAGATGGTGTGGGGGCTGTAGATGGTGATCATGTTTCATGATAAACCCTAAACATGGGTATAACAGGACACATGCTCAGACAGGTGGACTTCTTTTGAACTGTTCACGTGGACACCTTGTGGGGGCCGCTGGTACCAGAATTATTGTTACCAAGCCATTCTGATGTTTACTTCAATGTTTTAAAACTTTTAAGGGATCTGCCTATTTGTTGCCCTCACATGGAAACAGAATTGTGTGTTTTTAGTGATTAAATTGTGTTTAACTACAATATTTTGGATAAAACCTTTTCTGTGTACTAGGGTGCCTGGCTCTGCCGAAGCTCAACCTGCAGTTTCTCACCCTCCATGATTACCTTCTTCGCAACTTCAACCTTTTCCGCCTGGAGTCTACATATGAGATTCGTCAGGACATTGAGGATGTTGTGTGCCGCATGAAGCCATGGTAAGTGGCAGGCTTGAGTTTGCTTGGCTTCCCATGTGCACTCATTATTTTTCTCTGGAAGAATAGTTCCATAGTCAGTGCTGCAGTCAGTATGTTTAAACAGCTGATGATGAATAGCATTACAAGAGCCAAACACACATAAGACCTGCAGATCCTTTATAATATTGTTTACGTGGATACGTAAACACTCTTCAGAGAACAATCAGAAGAGTTGTGGCACATTGCCTGGTCAAACAGTCTAGTACAATATACAGCTAGTAATATGAGGAATTGAATTCTTGATTCTTGGCTTAAACTTGAATACGGGGGGCTCAGTGAATACATTATACTGAAACCATGTGTAAATCCAAGAACAAAAATTTAATATGTTGACTGCATTTGTTCCCTTTTTCTGGCGTTTGTAATTTTTTTTCCACCCGGCAATCTTGCCGGTAACACATTTTCTGTCCCGTGACAACACTCACTGTACTTTATCTATGGAGGGGCATTGTTGTTACACTAAGCTGCGTGCTCCTGATTTGGACTACACTACACCTCCTCTTGTCTCGCCTTGTCTCCATAAAATAGAACAGGTCCGATAGCACTCCTTGATATTCAGTAACGACAGAATGCACAGGAAATTAGATGCTCACTGAACATATTGCGGATGGGCAAGTATATTTATGCTCTTGTTCTACAAGATAAGACATGAGGAAATGTGCATGTATTGGATGGAATGTACTTTTTTTGGCCAGTGCATAAACTTTAATTTTGAGCCTTTTGATTATGCAATTCTTTGTAATAATTGTGTTGGCTTACAAGAAGCTAATTCTGACGGGCAGATGGGGATTGAGAAGTAATTTTGTATCTTTCTTCCATAGAAAGTTATACTGTAGCTTGAAACCCTTTATTCAACGTGAAACTGAAATATGAATTCTAAACCTTGGAAATCTGAAAAATACAGTATTGGGGTCATGGCTTAAAGTGGTTTAAAGGCTCAAGGTTTTTTACCTTCATGCATTATATACATGAAGGAAAAAATAATTTTGTGTGCAGCACTGCCCCCAGAGCAAAAAGCTTGCTATGGTGGGCACTCATGAGGGATGGGGCGGGGGTGCGAGAAGAGGAGAATCAAGTCTACTCTGTGGGAAACCATTGCACAGAGCAGGTAAGTATGACACATTTTGATCCTTTTTTTAAAAAAATGAACCTTTAAAATCACTTTAACCCCCAACATTTCAGGAAACATTGTTTCGGTGCATTTATTGATGCCAGAAATCTACAAATATGCCCTAAAATATTGCCTTATACCATCATTATCTTTTACCTAACATCATTACCTTTTACTGGAAGGAAGAGACACTAGTAAACACCATGTTGCGCCAAACACACGGACTAACTTTGCAACTCGAGGCCAAATTGTTCAGCTGTTTCTCTTTGTTGGTTTGGGTTGCACTGCACCTACGAAACACCTGTTCTGTTGCAGTGAACATTCCTCATGGATTAATTTAGTAAACTTAATGACAGATTAAGGAAGGAGGTAGAAGATTTCCAAAAGGAACAAAAAGCAGGGAAACAAAAAAAAGTTCCCAAGAGACCTTGCTGATTTTGAGAGTGGCCGGAGCTTTGATTTGGAAGGACGGAGAGTAGAAGTAGATCTAGGAGTAGATTTTGCAGACAAAGGGAAGATAGAGGTGGCCCTGGTTTAGCTAAAAATAAAAATCCGTCTCTTAGGGACACCCAGGGGAGTGGGGAACAGAGAGGAACAGGCAAAAATGGGAGGAGAAGGGCGAAAAAGATTACACAAGGGTGGAATCAGAATCAATCCAAGACGCCAACTTATATTTCCCAAGACCCCAAAAGGAATACTCGGAATCGGAAAAAGTAAACCTAAATGTCATCAACTTGACCGATTTCCCACTGAGGCCCCGTGTAAATTCTAATTTGATGTTTTTTGGTAAAAAACCAGACACTGCAAAGATCCACCAGCCTCTAGAGGACTTGAATGGCCTAAGTGAAGAAGAGATTATTAATCTCATTGGGATTGATTCGTTTTTGGCCTTCTCGACCCTCTGCCCCCCTCAGGCCTGGCAAATAATTCCACACTATTCCCTAACTTTGGCATGAATAGATATCTCCAACTGGTTCTTGAATCGGTCACGGTTGAGACATGTGCTATCGACTGGAAATCAATTGAAGCGGCTACCGACAATTTGACGTCGGGAGAACGGCTAGCCCTGAGGGAATTGGGAAAGTTATCTGGATGTATTTTCAAACCTAGTGACAAAGGGAACAATGTGGTCCTCTGGCAGGAAAAAGATTATGTACATGAAATCTACAGACAACTTCTTGATGTAGACTGCTGTGAAAAATGCAGCCACAATCCCTTCCTGAGGTCTAGATGATGAAATTAACTATCGCAGGGCTTGAAAAAGCTGCTCGCCAAATGCAAGGAGAAATTCTCTAGCGGCGAGCACAGAGGATGGAGTGGCTATGTTCCAAGCCTCATTGTGAAGCCGAGTTCCTGTTTCCGGCTTCTTCGCAACCGCCGCTGAGGGGACAGGTGCAGGACAGGTCCGCTCTCCTTCGCTGAGAGGTGACACCCTCTCCACCGCTGCGGGGGACTCAAGGAGTAAGTACTGTATTACATGTCATATCAGTATAATGCAGTACAGGGGAGCTGGAATATACATTACTCAGTAATGTATATCCCAGCTCCCCTGTACTCCATTATAGTGATATGACATGTAATACAGTATGTATATCCCAGCTCCCCTGTACTCCATTATAGTGATATGACATGTATACAGTAATGTATATCCCAGCTCCCCTGTACTCCATTATAGTGATATGACATATATACAGTAATGTATATCCCAGCTCCCCTGTACTCCATTATAGTGATATGACATGTATACAGTAATGATTACTGTATACATGTCATATCACTATAATAGCGTACAGGGGAGCTGGGATATACATTACTGTATACAGTTTTATATTTTGGACTCTTTATTCTAAAGAAAAATGTAGGTCTAGACTCTAAATTTTTAAGACCTGAACTATCGAATGGATAAGGCATACGAGGTGGGATTGATCACTAAAAAAGAATATCAATATCTTTATGTGGATGAATATAATATCCCTACTTTTTACGTTACTCCTAAAGTACATAAAAATATCAACAAGCCACCAGGACGACCCATTATCTCCGTGATAGGAAGCCACTTAGAACGAACAGGCAAATATATTGACCAATTAATTAAACACCTTGTTAGGGAGTTCCCCTCTTTTGTCCTTGACTCTACAGATAACCTTTGTAGGCTTACTGAATTCTCAGTCCCAGAGGACTGTATATTGGCTGGTATAGACGTCAAATCTTTGTACTCCTCCATCCCTCATGCAATTGGGATACGTGTGGTTACCGAATGGCTTGATATACGCCAGCCATTGGCAGGTCCCCACAATAAATTTCTTGTTGAATTACTTGAATTGAAATTTACGAACAACTTCTTTATTTTTGGTAACTATTTCTGCCAAATAACAGGTGTTGTGATGGGAGCCGCATGTGCTCCGTCTTATGCATGTTTGCATTTGGGATGGTGGGAGAGGGAAGATGTCCATACCCATATGGCATTTGAGCAACATGTATTATTGTGGGTTTGGTACATTGATGATGTACTGGTGGTTTGGAGGGGGTCAATAGAAGAGCTGGTAAACTTCATTGCAGAACTTGATAGGAAAGATAAATGAGTTATTGGATTTATTGATTTGTAAGTCTAATTCAAAGTTGACTGCAAAACCTCTTGGAAGCCGACAGCTGGTAACGCCCTCCTCCATGCCACCAGCCACCATCCATGGCACCTACTTAGAGGTATCCCCAATAGGACAGTTCCTGAGGATTCATAGGAACTGCTCGGATCTCAGAGAATTTCAGGAAGAGGCTGTTAATTTTAAGTAAGAGATATAAGGCCAGAGGGTAGCCAAATTCAGTCATTTGGGATGGCAAACAAAAGGCATGGGGTCGAAGTAGGGAAGACATCTTGCATAAAAAAAAGATGCACACTCCAAATCTAAAATGGATCATAAGGTTAAAATGGGTATCGTTACCACTTACGGAACCCATTGGGATTGACTGCGATCAGTACTAGACAGACACTGGCACATACTCCTACTGGACGGTAGACTGAAGGAAATTCTAGGCCTTAGAACTAACTTGATTGATAAAAGAGCTGCAACTAATGGAGATATTTTCGTTCACAGTGAATACACCCCCACAAAAAAACTAAATGCAAACCTCCCTTTTAAGAGACCAGTTATGGGAATGTACCCATGTGGACATTGTAGTATCTGTAAATATGTTGTTAAAACTAAAATCTTTTGAGAATTTTAATAAAACACAGAAATACCAGATACATTATTTTGTCAACTGCTCTACTAGTTTTGTTGTCTATCAGATAATATGCCCACGTGGGAAAATCTATATAGGCAAGACGAGAAGGGAATTTAGGAAACGGATTGGTGAACATCTGACCAGTATTTCCACTGGCGATGATAAATTATCAGTGGTCATACAGTACATTTTAGAGATGAACATGGTGGATCCATCCTGGGATTTAAATGTCTAGTGATCTATAAATTAAAACTATCAGAGAGAAGAAGAGATAGATAAAATACTCCTCCAGAAGGAGGACATTTGGATCTTTCTGCTGGAGTCGATGACTCCTAAAGGGCTCAATAGTGGAATGTTTTTACAATTTATTTTATGAGCCAGTCAGGTACTGCTAGACACCTTTTATTGCACTTTGGAATTTACAGTGATGTGTTGGGCTGTTTTATATGGCCCGATTGTGTGCTTACTGGACCCTATGCTCTACAATACTGGGTGGTTCGTTAGTCTGTGGTCAGGTATCACCCAGAATACAGTTTTTATATATATATATATATATATATATATATATATGCCTCTGTTCCCTATCTTCTCGTTCTCCAGTCAAATAGAATTAAAAAAAGTCAAATAG